GGTTTCCCACCTGTTCGAGCTCATTCTTCTAGTAGTTTTTTTTTAATCTCTGTGGCTCGTTTATCTGATGAAGTTTGGGGATTTTGAATTCACGATACCAACATAATCGATTTCGAATGAATTTTTCACCAACTCATGGAGATTGTCGTTCTCATGATGAACAAATAGAGAAAATTCATCGATACGACCTGAGTGAGGTTTTTGGTGGTTTCCATGTACCACCCATCCCAATTTAGACTCAGACAAAATGGGCAAGTTTTTTCCTCCATCGTAGACTTCTCTGACAAAAATCAGGTCAATGTTGTCTTGACCAATTAAAATGAGGGGTTTTGCATTCACCAGTGATGGCAAGTGTACTTGGTTGATATAGTTAAATTTTTGGGCGATATTTTTTATATTTACAGTTTGAACAGGAAGACACAAATCACATATTGTTAGAACATTAGACATGACGTACTCTGTATCACTATTCTGTCCTTTAATGCTTATGGTTACTCTCCTCGAATTCCTCACCTCACTAGTCATTGAATTCATCCATGTGGTTTTCAGTACCTCTGTAGGTCCGACGGAACCAATTTTCATAGCTGCAGCCTCATCCAGCATAGTTACCGTTGAACCTTCGTCAAAAAGGGCTAAGTATTAATCCTTTCCCCAGGACCAATAATTTCAACTGGGGCAATTCTAAGAAGAACTTCATTGAACTCAGAGTTGTTCACTTGCGTAATGTACTGAATAACTCAGGAAATAACTAAACTAAATATAGCCTGAATACAAAGTAGAATAACTCCGAATTTCCTTACCAATTTGAAATCGGTTTTCACCAATGATTAGCCTAATCTGTCAACAGTTTGTTGTGGCAATATGAAACTTCTGTAATTTCAGATAACATTGCTACATGGTGATAATTGCAATGTGGTCTTCACCTTACCGTTAGAACATATACTTTTTCTCACCTGTATCCTCTTGATTGATGCTTTCTCTCGAAACGTTTTCGGAATTTTCAATTTCAGAGCTTTGATAATCGCGTTATGAATATTCATTAAAAATGATGCATTTTTTCGACGATAAATTGAATGAAATTGAAAGTTGGAATTCTTTTTCGAAGAATCAACCTTGTATGTATAGTCGTCGGATATGTGGTGTTCGAACACAGAAAACTCTTAAGAAGTCTATACAAAGTGATACAAGACTTACTGAATGATGGAATGGAGAAAAACGTAGTCTTCAGTAGATAAAACATAATTTGCTATGTGTTACTAGTGAAATAATGTGTTACTTCGTCATGAGGAATTTCTCGGATCGAGGGTTGTACAGGGTGTTTGGTTCACCGACTTATATCTGAAAGAGGGTGATAGGTGGAATGATTTTGAACACATACAAACAATAAATACTATTATACAAAGTGTTACGCTTTTCGAGATATAATCGATATTCAGAATATGACCGAATTCGATGAATAGTTCCACATAAGTTATAATAAAAGTTTTGTCAAACATTTTGTCTGATTGTATATTTTTTTCTATAAAGTTGAATACGTATTTCATCGATATTGAACATGAAATGGGATCTACGTATGGCGAAAAAAAAATTATGGCGCATTAGAATTTAAAATACGATTAATTGTAATATCCAACATCGTATTTATGACCTTATGACCGAATAATATGAGGTATGCAGATAAATTATTCGTTCGAATACCTTCGAAAACTTTCTTAATGTTGGTTCTTTCGAATGATGTAATAACAGATGCAGACTTAATAATGTAGTATATACTTATTTTAATTAAAAGCAAAATAATTCCTCGCGGAAAAAATTGCAAGATTTAACAGAAGAGGATATTAAAATTATAAACAGGAATCTATTTATGAAATCTCTTGCTCAAAATGAGATCCACCATTTATAATACAAAGTCGACATCTTCGTCGCATGTCTGTCGTGGTTACGCCTAGCCTCATTTCCGCCTTCATTCGATCTGCTGCCTCATTGATTTTTCGAATAAGATGTTCTCGATCCCGGATTTCCTCATCATACACCAGTTCCTTCATTCGTCCCCCCACATGATAGTCGACGGGGGTCAGGAGGCCATAATATCAGTTCATTTCGCCCTATCTATCTTCCTGGAAATTGATTATTCAAAAAATCTCTGACAGTTATACGGTAATGGGCATCACATCCGTCGTTTTGATAAATGATGTGTCCTCTTACATCTAAAGGAACTTCATCCAAGATATTGGGTATATTATCTACTAAAAATTCTAGACAGTTTTCATCATTCAAATTGTTAGGCAAAAAATATCGACCCACCACCCACGACCCACCAGAACTCTGCCTATTATACCTGCCCAAACGTTTACACTGAATTCCCTTTGGAAGGAAATTTGTTTCCTCGCATAGGGGTTTTCTTCTGCTCAATAGTGCAGGTTATGAAAGTTCATAATCCCTTCACGAGAAAAGTTTGATTCATCAGTTCCCAAAATCATACGTAAGGATGTTGGATTGTCTATGTCGGCATTTAGGATGAATCGACAGAAAGTGCTTCTTCGAACTGGGTCTCTTTCTTCAAGTCCTTGCACGGGAGTGTATAGGAAATGTGTGCATTTTTTTATAATGAAGAATTGACCATACCTTCCATGTAGATATTATTTTTCTGGTGCCCACTAGTAGGGGCTCTGCTTCAAAATTTTCGAGAATTTGCCGATCCACTTCAGGGTGATGTTGTTGATTGTTTGCTCTAGGATCTCTTTGATGAAAATTGCCAGTTTCGCTCAATCTACGATACGTATTAACAAACATGGTCACGTGGGGTTCTCGTCTTTGAGGAAATCTCTCTTGATAAAATCGTTGTGCAGCAGCTGCATTGCTGTCAGCTCTGCCGTACATGAAAATTATATAAGCATATTCAGCATTCGAAAACAGCCATTTGACAAATTGACAAATATTACAAAATGAACAAAATAAATGAATTAAGATACTCTATTTAGGAACATGTTATATAACGAAAATCAAAATATGGGAACTGCACCACATCGATAAACCACACTCGAAATAAAAGAAATATCATGTAGTGATGGACTATAATATATTGAAAAACAGGACGAAGATAGAGGAAGTTTTTGAAGATGTTCGATCGAATGTTCTATTTTGTCCCTATCTTTGGGCTTGTGAATATTAAACATGCATCATTGATCATCCTGTTATGTATGAGAAACTATTTCTTCCTACGACCACCTATGAAAACAGCACAAAAAACATTGATTTGTTATTGAGAAAGTGACTCGTTTCACTATGACAACATATAACAGTTAGAAAGTTCGAAAGCAAAACTCACATGGGTGGAAATATTCGAAAATCGCACAGTAACAGGGTCTATAGATTATGATGTACCAATGAATGATTATTATGCTGAATTATGGTAAGTTAAGTTATGGTAAAGTCAATGGAAAGTTAGTGTAGATTTAAGATGAGTTAATGTTGACTTAATGTTGAGTTGATGAAAAGTTTGAAATTTAAAAAAAAATCGTTTTTTGCGAATATTGCTGGAACCGTTTATCGCACAAAACACAGCTTTCGTAAGCATTTGCTACTCATAATAATCTATGTTTTGTATGGAATTTTTTTTTGGTTATAATTGGTGAAGATTTTGAGGGGTAGTGAGTGTTTTCCTCCCAACTTCTACCCCACTGGAAAAAGTACAGTTTTGAGCACTCCATTTGAATTGCCAATATTTCTTACAAAAAAAATATTCTTGGTCAAAGGCTCAAAATTTGACCGTTTTCGAGAAAAATCAACTTTTATGTTGAAAACCATGGTAATATTTTTTTAAAATTGCTGCGTGCATTGAAGCTAACCGCGGACATTTCCAACAATTATTAATTTAACTGAGTATGATTTTCTATTTTTTTTTTTGTTCAATTTTGCGATATGAAGTTAACCTTTGGTTCTGTTACTTGTTCTAAAGTTTGAATAGATTTTGTTTAATTGGTAAAAAAAATTGTTTTCAAAAATTCGCCATGATTTTCAACATGAAAGTTGATTTTTCTCAAAAATGGTCAACTTCAGAGCTTATGACCACGAGTAACTTTTTTGTGTAGAAAACATTGGCCATTCGAATGGGCGACTCTAAACTGTACTTTTTCCAGTGGCGTCGGAGTTGAGAAGAAAAACATCCACTAACCCTTCAAAACTTCACCAATTATGACTTTAAAAAAATAATTTCGGCACCAAACAGCTTATTACGAGTTCACGGAAGCTGTTCTCTGTGTTTTTTTTTAAATTTCAACACCCTGTATCTTGAAAATGCAGCATTTCAAAGGGTAAGTTGATAGAAACTTTTTTTTCATATTTTCGGACGAGCTATTAGACCCTGTATATAATGTTCAAAGTGTCACGCATGCGCCTTGAAGTGATGCAGTTTTTGCAAATTCCATTGGTGACTGCACTTTATCATAAAAAAATCTTTGGTTTTGCTAGTTTCGACAGAACTCGAAAAAACGAAACGTTTGTTCGGAATTCACGATGTTGTGATGCATTTCTACCCAAAGCATATTTTGTGATGGTTTGATGAGGCAAAGCGATGTTACTGATAACTATCCCTATTTCTAATTATTTGCTTAATTTTTTTCTTTGCTAGCTTATTCATCACTTCGATATATTGAGATTTCAAGTCTAATTTTGAGCTCAATTACTCTATTTTCAAATGTTTTGACACATTTCGAAAAATAACAAAATGATTTGTCGAACTTTGCGATGCGGCGATGCGTTTCACAAAAATTGTAGAATTTTCTGTGGAATCTTCTATGGAACCAGTTGCACTACATTTAATTTTTGTAATGATGAAACAAACCATCTCATCAGTTCAACTGATGCTAAATTAATCTATATTGTACCTATTATTTCAAGAAATGTTAAGCCGACAGTGCCAAAGTTTCAAATCGAAGATAAAACTTGCCAAATTCCCTTGTCATTGTACTACATCTGCATTTGAATATTTTACATTCAAGGATCTTTGCGACGGTCAATTTTTGAAAACTGCCTCAAGTAGAGACTCTGAAGAAAATCCATTTGATAAAATGGAATCATGGACTTCAAGAAAAGCAAGAATTCTGTCAAAATACACTACTTCAGAAAAACTCACAATAATAACCAGCTTTTTATCGGAAGGAGAAAAAGGTATTTTCCATTGTGCCAAATATTCGATTTAAATTTTTTCAATTCTCAATTTCTTTCAGTTATGGTTAAGACTCAGAGCACTGCTGTGGATAAAGTACAACACAGATTGAAACAATTGGATTCCTTCGAAGAAGGCTCCCAGCAAAAGTTAGATCTGTTCCAGGCTGAGTATATAAGCAAAATAGATCAACTCAATAATGAACTTGTATCTTCTTGGAATACAGAACAGAGAGTCAAAGCTCTGAAGATAGCTATACAATGTGCAAAATTACTGACAGACACTGATGTATTGCCTTTCTATCCCAGTAAATTTGTGCTCATTACTGATATTTTGGATACATTTGGTAAACTTGTATATGATAGATTAAGAGTGAAAGCGAACTATATCAAGTTAGTTTTTCAGAATGAAAATTCTGTTTTATAACTCAATTTTTTTAGACCTGGTTCAAAGACACCTATACCACTTCCTGAAGATTTCACCCCAGGAATGGTGCCTGATGCTGCGAAAGAAACTTGTCTTAATTGGTTCTACAAAATAGCTTCGATAAGAGAACTTGTACCGAGATTGTATGTTGAGATAGCCTTGCTGAAATCATATAATTTCATTTCAACCAAGTCAGTATCAGAACCTTCATTCAAATAAGTTAATGAGCATTACAAGTGTAATCATTTCAGTGAGTGTGTCGACAGTCTCACACGGATTACTGATATGATCCATGGTATTGGAAATCCTCTAGTAGCAGTTTATGCAAGATGCTATCTGTGTAAAACTGGAATCAGCGTTTCCAATAAAAACTCTGATTATGGGTACTTGTTTGGAAATTTTACTGGATTCTTAGATTCCTATCAACATGTAAGTTTTACTTATATAGATCCCTCTAATACTTTCGTGCTGTATACATAAAATGTATGTCAGACTATCTGTGCAATCATAAAAAGCCCATTTTATGGGATTGGAAGGTTCCTCAACTTTCAGTCGAATCAAAAGTAAACTTTAACAATTATTTTGATTGGTCTTTTCAATTGACAATACCCATTCCACATTTTTTCAAATAAAAGGAAACTCATCAATACAAAAAATTGAAACAATGCAATAATCAGTATTTCGTTGTTCTGCTCTAGGTATTCCTATACTGACAACCTATAAGTAGGTACCTATAGGCTGTGTTCCGGATTCATTTTGCATACATTGCTATGACTGTTGTAATCCGAGTTACAACATTGGTTGAAGAGGCTTATATCATACTGAACTACATTTCATCCATTACATTCTCCAACCTCCAACCAATGTAGAGAATTGACGGGTCGATTGTCGATTGAAGGCATCCTTAGCTTTTTTCACTTTCACGCGATTCGTCCATCTTTATGAAGGAAGACTGTCGAAACCCTTAAGGGTTTCTAATGAAATTTGGCATCAGCGTTTGAAAATTGTTACAGCATGCCCTATTTGAATGGACTTCGACTTCTTGTGCCATGTTGATCTAAAATTTTACTTTTAAATTATGTTAGACATTCTTGGCCAGAAAAATTAAATGTTTCATGGCACTATTTCACTAATCATGATCACTCGATTTTTAATCTGTAGATAAAATTATTGGGTATTTTACACCATACCCACTTCAAATCAGCATATTTGGTTCCTTTCAAGAATTTCATTTTTATCTAGAAATAATGAGAACTGAAAATTGAAGAACTTCTTTCAATCGGCTTCTCATTATTTGAAATGATTATTTCATCTCTAAAGAACTCCTGCTTCTGAAATTTCTTCAGTAGTAATCCCAGCAAGCAATTTTGGTCGACTTTATGCTGGCCCTGAATATGCAGGCCAGAATTAGCCAGAACGGCAAAATTCCTGTATACAATGATGGGCCAGTACCAATAGAAGACTCTGGCCATCGTCAGGGCGAGTACATGTCTGCCGATACATTCAAATATAAAAAAGACGATAGCCACGGGATTCGAATCCTGGTCCTCCGGTTACAAATCGAACTTACTCCAACTGAGCTACTACACCTTTCTCGAAATGATGTGTGTACGGAACTTTCGAATAGGAATATTTCATTGATAATTATTATCATCATCATAACAGATGATATATACAAACGATGAACATAGAAAAACGTCCGATTCTCCGATTGACTACCGAATTTCTATCATACCTATTGTTTAGACGACTTGTAAATTTTTTTTGGCCCAATTTGATGACTTTTATGATGATATTTAACTGCAATGAATAAACATACCTAATATGAAATGACAAAATACACTTCTCCCAGTAATTAACGTTCCACCAAAACGTAGCCAAAAGGTTGAGATCCATTTTCGTCAAAACTACTTGAACTGTTACCTATTACTCGAGAAATACCATTTTATTTCGTAACATGATTTTATGTAAAATTTATATCCAAATTTAGCAATAAGGAAAAAAACAGAATGCGAAGTCACAATAAGTTAAACGAAAGGGTCAGTAGCGAGTATTTCCGCCTCGGGAAAAAAATTCTTGGCAAAGACGGCCTATATTTATTTTGGTCCAGGTCTTCCTAAATTTGAATCATCATAAACCGTGCGTCTACCAAAGTATTTAAGTTACGTCCCTCTTGTAATCGTCCCAAGAATGTCCGTGAGATTCTCAATGGGATTTAAATCCGGGCTCCCAACTGGCCATGCCGTGGTAGCGATACAGACTTCCTCTAGATAATTTCTCAAAACTCGGGCGATATGAGGCCTGGTATTATCTTGCATGGAAAATCATTACACTATTTATGTTGTTCTTAAATCTCCAATATTCCATTCTCCCCCCTTAGCTCAGTTATTTTTGAACCGATTCCAAAATTTTGAATATCATCTAAAATGATTTACGATAGAGTTTTTTCCGCTACATCAGAAAATACAAGGTGCTCGGAACAAACGATCTACAGGGTACTATTTGATTTTTTTTGGAACACCCTATATTTCATTGTATATTTAGATTCTCCCTGAAGAGCTGATTTCATCAATGTATCACACTTGGGGTCTAGCGAAAAATATTACAGAGATATAGGGTGTTCAAAATCGAGATTTTTCAACTTTAGGATTTTTCTGTGACGAAACTATTCATTATCGGTCAAAACGGCTTTCTTGTCGGTATGTTAATTTTTGATATACTATCTACTGAGATTTAATAATTGGAACAGATACAGGGTGATCAGAATTCTGAATCTTGAAACACTTTTTTCGAATTTTCAAATCGGTTAAAAAATAACTGAGCTAGAGGGGGGACATTTATGGTGAATCACTTTGTACTTACGTGCTTATAATAATATTTGAATTGTGTTTCTAAAATATTAGGGTATCAATGAAAAAGAGCTTTTCATGAGAATACAGTTTGAATGCCAATATTGAGAAGGAGATAACCTGTCATTTGAAACAAAAAACGTCCAAATCGGACAATAATTAATTTTGACGAAAATGCATCTCAAACTTTTGGATACTTTTTGATGATGCGTTAAATTTTTGGGGAAGTCAGAATTTTCATCGCCGAGTCGAAGCTGCTGAAGAAATGATCGTGAAATTTGGCAACAGTTGCTGTAACGTAGGGCACCTATTGATAGAGGATTTCATGATTGTACAAAATTTCCACTTGAGGGGGGCGAAATGAGGGTTGGAAGTCTCATATGTAGGGGCACTTGAAAATTAGATATTTCAGTCAAAAATACAATCATACTCTATTTGGCACAGTGCGTCTTCTTCATAGTTCAAAGCACCACTCTTCAGGTTCGCTCAATATTTCAATCATCGATTAAATTTATGTCAGGGGATCTAGCAGGCCACAAAGTGTCGCAATTTCTATGGTCGGCTTAGAAATAATAGCAATGTAATGAAAATTAAATTGAATCAATAAGAAGCACTTGCTAATTCAAAATTAGGAATAAAATGTATTGGAAACAACACAACAGACCGATGAAATTTGAGAAAATACTATGCTGTGTGATACATTCTTTTGTAACTCTAATAGCAATAGATAGCAATACACAAAGCTGGAACACAATGTACCTATAGTTACTCCTCAAATTTTACATAAATTTTCAAAATAATCTCATTATATTTTGCAGTTATACAGTAGATGCGTTAAAGCGGAACTCGATGCTCAACACATGCCACTCTCAACTTATGTTACCCTTTACACACCTGCTTTGGATTTCATATTAGAAGCTGTAGCTTGCAGAGCCAACGATTCAGTTTTGGCAGACATGCTCAATATTTGCAAGCAATACAAAAACAGTTCTCTCATCCTGAACACTATAATGTCTGGCTTCAAACCGACTCGTATAGCTGAAAGAGCTATGGAGTTCCTTGAAACGATTATTGAAAGCTCAGATGATGGTATTCCTCTTTACGTCTTGTTGAGGACACTAGGACTATGTATAACTGTTTGTCCACCACCAACGGACCAACGAAAACAAATTTTAAACATTGTCTGGAAACATGTTTCTTCGTTTATCAAGCCTGACGAATATATTGCTTGTGCTGAAGCTTGGGTCCAATTTGTGGTACTACATTTTTCGGTATTTAACCTTTCACAATTTTTTAACTTTATCTGAATAACATTATTTTTGTAGAATAGGGAGATTAATACCATACTGGGTGATATTATTGATCATATGACTCCCCAAAGAAATTATGAAAAACACTACAACGAGCTGAAAATCATCATTGGTACAGTTGTGGCACATAATCAAGACTTTGAAACATTACTCATAATGGTGAATATTACTAAACCAAAAACAGTAAAACTGTTGTATTGTGTAATCATTATTTTTCGCAGGATAACTTTTTACCTCTCGTGGATCTTTTCCAACAAGAATCCCTCAGAGTCGAAGTATGCAAGAATATTCTCACCTCCACCAGCAGTGAATTCAAAACCAGTGATCCAGTGATCACAAATGCCCTCATGTTCCTTTGTAGTGTACTTCACGATTCGGTGAACGCTTTGACACCTGAAGATGAATACAAGCAAATTGGGGAAATTTTGTGTAGTGTGATTAGGAGAGTTGATTATGGCAGAGATTTTGAACACCAGCTCAATTTTTATGTGGAAGCCAGGGGGGCTTTTTCGAACATTGACGTAGTTTTGGCTGAACTAGTACAGGTTTGGAAAATCCTTCAAAATAAAAATATTTTGAATGTAATCATATAATCATACAACTGAAAACTTGATGGCAGCCTGAATATGAACTCCTATTTTACAAACTTTGAATTTGGAATCGAGATTTTTAAGAAAATTATCTAGAATTATCTGTGCTCTAATTATGGACCCAAGAAAATTATTCTTCCTGAACGATGGAAACTTGTTATTTTTATAGTCCTCAATCGCAGATTCGTGATCAGGTTTTTCTCAATTCAGAATTTCTTTCCACGTCATGTATGATGAATGTCAATTTATCATACATCCAAAAAATCTTATTGTTCTTTCGATATTTGTGATATCCTGTTTCATTGGCTTCTTGGTATATCTGCTAGCATAATTGACAGCATAGCTGATATCTGGCCTTGTCTTACATGCCAGACAAAAAAGGCTTCCGAGAGCTTCTTGATATGGAAAATTGGTTTCATAGTTGTTCGGATCATATTGAAAATTATCTTTTTAGGAGTGCTTGTTGGTTTAGATGGTTGCATATTTGCATATGTATTTATAATTTGTTCATCATATCTTGCTTGATTTATGAATATTTCGTCTTCTGTTAGTGTGATCTGCATACCCAAATAGTTGTCAGGTTTAAAGTTTACTGTAGTTTCTAACTGTTTCTTCATTTTTGTCAGAAGTTGTTCTATTTGTTGTTGATCTTCTCCTATTACAATTCCATCATCTACATGAATACCAACAAACAACTCTTTTTCAGACACAGACTTGAACACACACTGATCAGTCTGAAGTTGTTTCAGTCCTTCATTCTTTAGAAAATCTGTATGACGTTAAAACCACTGTTGAGGGGCTTGTTTGAGTCCGTAAAGTGCTTTTCTTAGTTTGCATATTTTTCCAGGGACATCAAAATCTTCTGGCAAACGCATGTAAATCTCCTCTTGTAGATCACCATATAGAAAGGCAGATTTTATGTCGAAAGTGAGCATTTGTAGGTTTTCAGAGGCAGCTATAGCTAAAAGCATTCTCAAAGAGTTGGACTGTATAACAGAGCTGTAAATATCTTTGTAGTCCGAACTTTTCTTCTGTTGACAACCTCTTGCCACCAGTCGTGCTTTATAACGGCCATCATCTTTTACTTTGAAGAGCCATCTGCTGGTAACAATTTCTTTACCCTTAGCACAGTTTTCGTTCACCAAATCCCAAGTTTTGTTTCTCTGGAGACATTCTCTTTCCTTCTGAATGGCCTTCTTCCATTTTTCTTTTTCTTCACTCTTCGAACACTCTCCATATGTAAGAGATGTATCATCAGTAAGTAGTACATAGTCATATTTCTTAGGCATTTTTCTTTCCCTTTGAGGTTTTTGGTTTAGTTGGACATTTGGTATACCATTTTCACCATCTCCTGGAAGTTCATATTCAGAGTCATACTCTTCATCATTTGTTACACTTTCTGATTCCTCACTAGAACTTTCTTCATTGTTTTCCTGATTTCCTTCATTTACATCTTGATTTTTTTCATTTTGATTGTTTCCTTGATTTTCTTCATCTTGTTCATCTCTTCAATTAAATTTTCAATAATTGTTATTTGATTCTGTGGATTTTCTACACTTTCAGTCCCAAAGCATTTTAGATCTCTTGATACAAAGACATTTTTGTTTTCTTCATCCCAGTAACCTGTTATGATTTTTAACTGATTTTGGTATTTATTGTTTGATTTAAAGATAAAAGGACTCGAAAATAAAACACAGACATGAACCTGAACGAGATCTCTTTGGGGCAGTGTCGTTTTTTTATTCCGCCAATACAGTCAGACAACTTCGTTGATCACTGTTACCAACATTCAACATATGTAAAAAAATATCATTTGTTTTAGTCTTGCCAACTTTCAACAATCTGATGGGCAATCAAAACATGTTGGTCCTCATTTCAGTAAACGTCAATACCTGGCATTACCTCCACTCGTCAGTCATCGTCAATCAAATCAAAGTAATATTCTATTGAAAATTTTGAATACTTTTTGTCGAAAAATAATTAATTGTTCTCAGTTTCATTCATAACCTTAAGCAATGAAAGGAAATTAACTCATTATGCTTTCTAAACAGATTACACTGTCCTATTTCCTGACATAAGTAATGTGCGGAGGCTTATAAAATCTGAATCTAAGAGGAAAACGAAGATTTTGGTCGTAGAAAAAATCTAGTACACAACTCGAGTTTCGATGCATTGTATCACATAATACCGTTTTACCACTCACCATGTTAGCATCTTCAGCAGATTAATACTAATTATACTATTCTGATATTCTACTTAAATGCTTTACATACTAGGTGACACAGATTCATAGTATACCCCCTTTTCTCCTTTGTTTTTCCATCTATATGTATAAAATTTAGAACATTGAATATGCTCACTAGAGGGCACTTTCCCACATTTTAGTGATTTTTTTCATCTTCCGGTTTTCCCGGAAATGATATCAACTTCCGAACACCCTCAATTCATTTTATTCCAAATTTCAGAAATGTAGCTGAAAAAACAAAGGAGGAAAGGGGGGTAAACCATGATGCTGTGCCTATAAACTATAAACTATACAAAGGATTTCTAAGTGACAAACTGCAAATACTTGAAAAAGGCAATAAATTACTGAATAAGAATAGCAGGCCATTCTATATACTTCGTAAAGTTCAGAATGGGCATTATAAAATATATTTTTTCTGTGACGGGAAAAAAGTTTGGCATTTCATCTCTGTTGGCAGGTTATAAAATGTCACTTTTCATAAATTACTTTTTTCCCGTGGGAAAAAAGTGAGTACTTCTTTCCCGGATATATATATCACATATATATACTCTGTTAATGGCTTTTGTTGTGCTATAGTTCCGAAAAATTAGTCAATGATACCGTCTCCGAGAAAGAACTGCAAGTCCTTTTATCTTCCATTCGACTTCGCGGTTTCGTATATTACTAAACAACTACTGAATTCGCAATTTCTTAAAATCAAATCACAGAATTGAACTGACAAAAGTGACATCAGATATTTGATTACTTCAAAAGAATGATAAAGATGTCTATAAAACGCAGGTGTCCCTACTGTTAAAGACTTGAAATTTCACGTCGATAATTTTAACATTTCGAAATAATGTAATATCTTCTCAATATTGATTCGTCCTTCCTTCTGTCACAGAAAAAAATAGTGTATTATACACGGGAAAAATATTAGATTTTAGCTCACGGTTTTTTGTCTCCCTCCGCTACGCGTCGGGAGACAACACAACCTGGAGCTAAAATCTACTACTTTTTTCCCTTGTATTATAAATAACTATTTTTAAGTGGTTAAACAGTGTTATTAGATCATTATTTGTACCGAAAGCTCCAGTCTTTGCTATATTTTAATGGAATTCTTGTTTTCTGCTAAGTTATTATTATCCTGTTGAATAGCGGAATGATTCAGGTCACCGATCATTATAGGAGCGAATATGTCTACTAATTAATACTAAGTAATTGACATTTTCAGCAAGTTAATACTCTTTCTGTCAATACGAGACAAGTCATCAAAGGCATCCATACGAGAAAAAGTGGAGATTTTGTTAGAGCTTGTGCAGCATACTGTTTCATCACAATTCCTTCAATAGTTGCTGAAAAAACTCGTCTGGAACTGTACCTTTTATCTGGACAAGTCGCATTGTTCAACCAATGTTTAGGACAAGGTAACATCCAGGATATGTTTATACTTTATTGTTAATTATTTTCACTAACACTTTGAGAATTTGAAATTAATAATAATTACTAGTGTGATTTGGTTGGATTCCCAACAATCTATATGATTGTGGTTGACTCTTCTAATAGTAAAAATACCTTTTTTCTGCAAGTGGCATTGAAAGTGGCTTTTCTATGACACTGCCTGCCCAAGCAGAAAAAGTTTGTTGCTATGCACCGTTCCAAGTAATTTGAATGAAATTGTTAATCAAAATTGACACTGGTGAACACAAAATGATCGAGTTCTCATTAAAAAATTACACGAAATTGGTTTTATAACATTTGGGGAAAAAATTAAATGTTTCACATGCCAGCAAAGTATTAGATTGATTGCCGCGGCTGAAGTTCATAGCCGAGCGTAAGGGAGGCTAGAAATTCAGCCAAGGCAGTCAATCTACTACTTCGCTGCCTAGTGAACAAATAACTATAGTCGATTCCAGATAACAGTAAAGTGAAAGGCGTAGATTGATATAATGCAATATTAATAGAGGAGTATAGTTATGACACATTTTTTTGATAATTGGAGGCATAACAGACTATTATAAATTGTTACTTTCATTTTACCTACTGTTCTCTTATTCTCTTTTTTTTTCATGTGTCAACCAAACTTATCAGATTATTTAATATAGCTTACACTATTACAGAATTATATTCCATAAATTTTGAGACTTGTACAAATTAAGAATATTGACTGCACTTTTTTGCTAAATACTTAACAATGTAGTTGAGAGAATGCTCGATTATAAATACTTATGTTGTGAAATTGAATTTTAAGGAGGGGAGTTAGATAGCCATAGGCTAACCCCTGACTTTTGTGTGTAACATTGTTGTGCACAATAAACGATATATTATTATTATTATTATTATTATTGGCCAAAGTTACTTGAAATTTAAAATTCAAATGATACGTATAATGCAATGGCCATAGTGTGGGATATTTCAACCAAGTAAAGTTTGGTACTGAATAATTGGGTTCAAAGGTGATTTTAAAGATTTATTGCATAGTTATGTGAATCAACCCCATTTCGATTCACGCAAATGCAATTCGACTAAATCGACAGAGATTTTGACATAACAAGAAAATCATAACTTTATATTATTGATTCTGGAAAATAAAATGAATATTGCAAAATTCAGAATTCAGGAATACACTTCATTTGTTTTATTTGGTTGTCTCCTGTTAGATATCAGAGTATTCTCCATGTAACAATAATTTCAGATAAAGCTTATTTCAGTCAAGGGAACATGTGACTAAATCTTCATTCAGTCAAAGATTACAGAAGATATATTATAATTATTACACAAGATATATTATAACTATTACACCAAGAGATATTATAATTTAATACTTCATTTCTACAACATGTTTTTTTATTATTATTTTAAGCTGATGCCTGTTTTCAAGCAGCCCTTGCTTTACTACCCGAACTCGAAGATGTCTCTGCAAAATCTGAAACGTTTCTTGTACCATACATCAGACAGTTCTTATCCACATTATTGGTAGTTCCAGACAATCCCGAAAGGGGTGTGCTTAATTTGTTGAGGAACCTGCTCAATGTCATGGCAAAATTAGAGTGGAATAAAGCTAACTGTTCATTGGGAATCTTGTACGTTAGTTGTCTTGATCTTTTATCAGCAATGGCACAAGAAGATTATGTGTATCAGGTTGATAAAGGTGAGTGGGTTATTTGATTTTTGAACTTTTTTCTGCATATTTTGCATATATTCCCTTACAGGTTTGCTATCGAAATCGAAAAAAAAAATAGTTTTTTCTATAACCGACGCCTTTGACGCTGACAAATCTCAGCACAAAATTTACATGTTCAATAAAATGTCATTATTCGACAGCATTTACGCTCGTGAGCGGAAACAATAAAAATACGCTCGCATCGCACGATCCTATTCTTGCATGATGAGAAATATTCTCAATGAACTTTAAGTCACACTTCCTGATGGCGATAGCAGAAAATGCAATAGTTGTAACTTTGAATTTTCTCTATAATGGTTACTCTGGCTTACTTTAGGGAGCAATTGAAGACTCTGAAATAAAACTTTGGCTACTCAATGCTGTATCATATGAAATAAAGAATATGTTGAATCCGGAAAAGCTTGATGGACGACCCAGCTATAGTCAAGCCAAATAAAGGAAGATGTTTGTGTGCTTTATTTTGCTCGTTTGTGACATTGTGACTTCAGGAGGTATGAAAATAATTAAAACAAGTCTTATTAATAAGATTGAATTCAATCAAGAAATCAGAAGTTCAGGCAAATATATTTATTTAGATATAGAGAAAGAATTCTGGATTCATAGAAACAACAAGTCTGAATTTAGAAAGAACTTTGATCCCTTAGTTCGAAGAATGTTTGAACGAGAGAAATGTCGCTCTAATTTGTTTTTTCTGTGACGGGAAAAAAGTTTGGCATTTCATCTCTGTTGGCAGGTTATAAAATGTCACTTTTCATAAATTACTTTTTTCCCGTGGGAAAAAAGTGAGTACTTCTTTCCCGGATATATATATCACATATATATACTCTGTTAATGGCTTTTGTTGTGCTATAGTTCCGAAAAATTAGTCAATGATACCGTCTCCGAGAAAGAACTGCAAGTCCTTTTATCTTCCATTCGACTTCGCGGTTTCGTATATTACTAAACAACTACTGAATTCGCAATTTCTTAAAATCAAATCACAGAATTGAACTGACAAAAGTGACATCAGATATTTGATTACTTCAAAAGAATGATAAAGATGTCTATAAAACGCAGGTGTCCCTACTGTTAAAGACTTGAAATTTCACGTCGATAATTTTAACATTTCGAAATAATGTAATATCTTCTCAATATTGATTCGTCCTTCCTTCTGTCACAGAAAAAAATAGTGTATTATACACGGGAAAAATATTAGATTTTAGCTCACGGTTTTTTGTCTCCCTCCGCTACGCGTCGGGAGACAACACAACCTGGAGCTAAAATCTACTACTTTTTTCCCTTGTATAATAAATAACTATTTCACTACGATGTCCATTAAACCCTTCAATTCATTACTTCATTTTGTATGTATATCGAGTTGATTGAAAAATGGCGAAAAAGTTGGCGAATAAACATTTTGGTCAATTAAAAAAAAATGATATTCTTGGTTTTTCTGATTTACCTATGATATTCTATATTTCAACTTGCAGTGTCAGCCTAGTCTTTTTGAGCAGCTTAAGGACTTAGAATCAATCCCGGAAATATTCGCTATCGATTTTAGTAGACCCTCAATATTTTTCATATAGATATTTGTACATGATCTATTGTTACCGCCAGTCATCTTGTGCTATCCTATCTATACAGGGTGTCCAGAGATAAAACCGAGTAAACCTATGGGGGGAATATGATTGCAAAATGCCATATACTAATGATCAAAACCGCTTCGTTACTGACATACAGAGTAATTTGTGGATTCTGACATAAAATTCAATCTGCCATATTAAATACAGAGATTACCTGATTGGGTTCAAATTCGGTACATGAATTGAACTGAAAGGCTTCAACAAGTAGCCCTTTGATAACGAAACCAGTATCAGGACCAGAAAATTTTATTTTTCCTATATTGTGTTATTGTGAGAATAACTCACCCTGTATAATAATTATCGTGAATTTGAGCATATATTATAAATCCACGGGAAAATACTATAGGAACTTGTTGAAAAAGTTACTGGCACTATTTCAGTTATTCCGGAATAAATTTTTATTTTAATTTTTTTCATTAAATATCGGATAGTAGAGTGCCAAACAAATCGTAAGTCGCTTAAATCAAAAGTTGGTGGGAAATCGGAGGTAAAAAGCTGTGACATGGCTAGAATTGTCCCCTACCATCTCCAGATCATGGATCCACTTGTCGTCAAAAAATCGTCCTGTGCGTTTGGGGGGTAGGGGGTAATTTATAAAAAAATATGGATTTTTTTTTATTCGTGGAAAATATTGATGGGTTCCAGAACTTTTACCCTATTGAATCTTGATTTCGTGTGACAAGTAGAAAAAATTATACCAAAATTTTGAAATTCACCAATTACATTACGATATATGAGAAAATCATATTTCAAACGGCTATAACTCGAAACTCGTAAATTTTCGTTAAATTGCTTTTCATATAACTCGCATTATCTCAGTAACTAAAACGTTTATCAAAAAAATAGTCCAAATAATGTCGATGCGCCTATGTTTCAAGATGCGAATGGTTCTTTGATTTTGAAAATCGAAGCATAAATAAGAAAGATATTGGGAAAATCATAATCCAATGCAGGTAGTGCGAAGGACGGCGATTCGCAGCTTTCATTCCCCGATTCTCCCCGCAACGCCCGCGGCCGTCATAGTACGATCACCGTAAATATGAATTATTGAGTGTTACAGAATAGTAGGATCTTGGAATTCACGAATTTCTTTTAACTTTCTGTTTGATTGGAAGTGACCTCAATTTATTTTATGAATGATCTATCTCGAAAGTACATTGTTTATCCATCATAGTAAAATGTCACCCATCTCATTTATTAACAAATTGAGAAATATTGAAAAAAAACATGATGCATATAATATTGAAATAAAAATAAGATATCCTTGTGGAAACTTGGAAAAAAAACATTATTTGATACCTATCGAATTGCGGAGTTGTAAATACATACACGTAAATACGATACAGTATCCACAAGAACACAAAGCTTCGATAATTTTTTTCGATCATGTCTCTTGATAAATCATCATTCCCAAACCAACGTGTTTCGGTGTGAGTTTTTTGAATTTCGAATTAGCGAGTAATCGAGTATTATACCTTGACATGAGATACTCAACACCTTTGAATCAACTGAATCAACTTTATCGTGTATATAAGGCAACTAATTTAAAAAAAAGTTTTTTTGGTATCATATCCTTGTAAGCCTCAACATCCATATTTTTGAGTTGTTTATAATCTGGCATATCTCTCATATCTTGCTAAATATCTCGAAAAAAATTGTGTATCTGGGTCATATCTGATGCATGCAAAGTCAGGGTTGATGTTATCTTCTGTAATTTCACTTTGTTCTATAAATGTGTATGAATCAGATGAGTTTTTGTCACTTTTGAAATCACAATATACGACTCATTAGAACGTTTTGATTTATTTGATAATTTCTATCTCCTTGTCGTAGTGCTTTCTGATTTCTTCGATAAATTCATTTTACTTGATTTTTTGAGATTTTCTCTCCTTGTTTCTCTGGATGTTTCGGGAACGAATCTGCTCCCGTTCTCAACATGAAAATACAAAACATTTTTCTTTGGAAGGTGCATTTTCATGTTGAGAACGGGAGCAGATTCGTTGCCGAAATAACGTCCAACGAAACGAGGAGAGAAAATCCCAAGAAATCAAGTAAAATGAATGTTTCATCTCCTCGATTAACCTACAGACAGTAATCTTCGATAAAGATTTTCCTACCAGTTTTGCCACCAAGTTCGACATATTTTTGATATAAACAGTTGAAAGTATACCCTTTTCCATTAGAAAATCTGCACCATCTATTCATTTTATCAGATTATCAAATTCTTTGTCATGTGTGGTATTGACAACTATATTCTTACTCATCAGTGATCCTCTATAATGTTTCCAATTTGATACAAAGCATTGGCTATGATACTTGACTTCCATGGCAATAAAAAATGTTGGTAGTCAATACTAGGTCAAAACTTGAGTATTATTTGAACGTTTTTGGTAGAAAATACATTGAGACACATCAAAAATCAATTTCACTATCGAAAGCGTTTTATTCCTGACACCATTGTCTCCAGTTTTCAATATTCCTGTGCCAGAAGATCAATTGACCTTTATTTTCATTGAAAATATCATCAATTCTCTGAAGTTCCACATCGATTTGCCTCGCATAGTTTTTTCCGACGTTCTTTCTTATATTCATACAACTTTCGAATGTTTTTATCGATAATTCTGTACAACGAAGGAGTTGACCATCTTTTCCACAAATGAAACATTTTCTCGATGATTCTGTACTCTGCTGGAAAGGAATCTTCATCTGTGTCTGAATAGTGAATTGCTAGTACTTTCCATCTTTCATCTAGAGAAACATATATTTTATGATAAATTTACAATAATAGATGTCGTCAGCTAACCAATACTTATTTAATTATTGAAACATAGAACACAGTACCAAATATCGAATAATTAATTCACAATAAGTCACCATTAAATAATGCGTCAACGCCTCAATGTTGATGTGTATAACGAAAGCGTATGGAACCATGATAGCCGCGGGTATTGCGGGGGGAATAGGGGTACGAATGCGGCGAAACGCGTTCGTCCGTAGTACCTGCAATGCATTATGATTTTCTCAATATCTTCCTTATTTATGCTTCGATTTTCAAAATCGACGAACCATTCGCATCTTGAAACATGGGCGCATCGACATTATTTGAAGTATTTTTTCGATAAACGTTGTAGTTACTGAGAAAATGCGAGGTATATGAAAAACAATTTAACGAAAATTTACAAGTTTCGAGTTATAGGCGTTTGAAATATGATTTTCTCATATATCGTAATGTAATTAGTAAATTTCAAAATTTTCTATAATTTGTTCTACTTGTCACACGAAATCAAGATTCAACAGGGTGGAAGTTCTGATACCCATAAATATTTTCCACGAATAAAAAAAATGCATATTTTTTTATAAATTACCCCCCACCCCCCAAACGCACAGGACGATTTTTTGACGACAAGTGGATCCATGATCTGGGGATGGTAGGTAACAATTCTACTAATTCTAGCCATGTCACAGCTTTTTACCTCCGATTTCCCACGGGGTGAACGATAGGATTCGATTGGCACTCTACTAGGATAGAATATCATCATTTAACAAGTTCGTATAGTATTTAATCCGTAGATTGTCAATCTCAGCCAAGATTTTTGATCATTATCATACAGGGTGAGTTATTCTCACAATAACTAGACATATAAAAACAATAATATTGTGGCCCTGATATAGTTTCGATCGAAAGTGCTACTTGTTGAAGCTTTCAATTCATGTACAAAATTTGAATCCAATCGGGTAATTCCTGTATTCAAAATGGCGGATTGATTTTTTTGTCAAAATCCACTAATCATTCTGTATGTCAGTAACGAAGCGGTTTTGGACATTTGTATATGGCATTTTGCAATCATATTGGCAGGCCCTAGCAAATGGGTTTTGTCGCTTTCATCTCTGGACAACCTATATATAAGTTTGAAGGTTGAACGAATGAAAACATTTCAGAGACGATAATCAGCACTATATATTTTTTTAGTTGAGTCGAATGATTCTCTTTATGGTTCAGATCCGAAATTCATCCAAGAAATCAATGCTCTATGTTCAATAATAGTAAGGGAAGTTTTGAACCTTCTGAAGGACCTAGGAATTTGCAGAAGACAGTCACAGATCGCCACAGAATTGTTTTTGAGGGTAGTGGTGAGAGGAGTCAGCAGTAAATCGATGTTAGTTTTGGCAATGAATTTGTGGCAGCTCAGTATGAAACATGGATATGCAGATGTGAAATATTTGGTGAGTTGGTAGAAAATGCGTAATTAATGCGAAGTTTGTAGACATGAATTTATTTTTTATATACAGGGTGAGTCAGAATAAGACCGACAAACTTCGTATACGGATTACCTACGTCATTTTGAAGAAGAAAGTTTCAATCAATTCATGTCCTATAATAAGAGTACGAATAAATTAATGTTTATATAATATTACAGTTTGATGAATGTAGTCACATGGAGTTTCCATTTTTGAATTTTGATTTCCAGTGGCGTAGGTACGGTCATATTTCGCCACTTTTTCCTTCATATTTTTATTCTGACAGATGAAATGTCAAATTGGTGTCTGACATCAGTGAGTCTTATTGATTATCTTTACCTAAAAGTAATAAAATTTCACATACACACAGTAGAGGTTCCTGGGATATTTACGAAAAACTGAAGAAATGTCTTTTGAGATAATATTGCTACGTGTGAAGAAAAAATATTGTAATGCTCAATCTTGTCCACATATTCAACAAATAGTGTCTCAAATAGGTTGCACTTTGAGACAGAAATCAATAAAAATGATCACCTTGAGATAACGTGTAGAATAAAAAGTGAGTCTCTCGACCTACTTCTGACTCACCCGTACTATGTTTCCAATGTTCTTAACATTGTGTCTGCATAGAGATTTCTAATTTCCTCTCAAACGTCTTTACAAGTACCTGCATCTTTAACATGTACAAATAAACACGGATCGGTGGTCAAAATTAGTTTCGCCTTTGCCTTGACAATAAATCACTGTCGTATCACTTTCATCACTATCTATGCACTTTGTCAGACCATGTCTTATAAAAAATAAGAAGAAAAATATAGCGACATAAGATCGTAACTACGCCACTGTAAATCAAAATTCAAAAGTGGAAACTCGATGTGACTACATTTATTAATCTGGAATAGTATACCGAGTTTCATTTTTTTCCCTCCAGGGGTTTCAAATAAATTGATATAAACCTTGATTTTTTTCTTACACTTGACAGCCTGTATCTCAACAGGGACATACATCGATAGAAACGTTTCTCTTCAAAATGAGGTAAGAGGTAAGGAATCCGTGTACGAAGTTTGTCGGTTTTTTCTGACTCACACTGTATACAGGGTGTCCCAGAATAACGTAACAGAAGAAAAATGGCCTACTCGGTCGGGGTCACGTGACTTTCGCTACATGTCAAAAGTTACATTTTTTAAATTGATAGCTAATAGGCTCGATCATGTGTTCGAATATAAAAAAAGTTCACCAAGAAAAGTTGTTCCTAAATAGCTGATTTACGTTCGTTTTATGGGTTTTATTTCCTGATATCATGTAGAATTTGAGCATTTAGCAGCGATGCTTTTACTTGTAGGTATTAAGAATATAATACAAATTCCCAACTTGGCAACATCCAAAGCAAATAAGCAGCCTCTGACCAATGATATTCGCCAGAATCGCGATTCGCGAGGGAGCACGTGTGACTGAGATGTTAAAAGTATAATATATGGCGTTTCCACTGATGCACTTTTGTTTTGAGTTGAAAATCGTAGTATAAGGTTCTTGTTGCATCCTATTCTAATACATATCGCTGTACGAATTCTCTTGAAAATTGAAATAGAAAGTCAAATTATGAAAATTTTATTAAACACTATCAAAAATTAAACGCCCTTACACCATTTCTGTATTCTTGTCGTCAGTTTAGGTAAATGTAAAAACTTCACAAACGATAAAATTTCCACAAAATTTTGTCATGCAAACATCACAATCATTTTCTTTTTAAAAAATGTCTGATGTGAGTTGTTTATACCAGTCCAAATTTGATGTGAGTTGTTTATACCAGTCCAAATTTGCGAAGAATCGCACGACTGATAGTTGACATATAGAAGGGGTTGGTTTAAAATGAGACGCGCTGCATATAGAAATTCATTGAGTTGACTATTTGTTGATATGTCTCCCAAAGGGATCAATTTTGAATTCTACGGATCTGTATGTACAGGAACCGCACTTTATGAAGGCACCCTATTCTTTGTTAGTACCATCTAGTAAAATGGATAATTTTCACGTAGAATAATACATATACGCATTGGTTTTAGGAGAGAACCAGAGATTACTTGAAAAGCAGAAGTATTGCACAGAATAATACGAATCTTCAACAGTTGGTTGACATGTTGGTTATATGAGATGATATTTTTTATAATTTCCTACGAATATATTGTGATATCTCATGTTATACAAGAATATTTATATATTTCTTATGCATGTTCCTATAAGAATAAAACATATTTTATTTATGGTGTCTTATGAGTATTACTTAGTGTTATAATTTCCTATCATATATATTATTATATCGACGACTGGAACCAATTGGTACGAGTTTTAACGACTCAACACGTATTTCGCCAACTATATTAGCATCTTAAGGAGAGAAACACCCTACCCTAGCTTTATCGTGTGCCTCAAATTCAAACCTCACCATTGGGATCTTGGTAACTGTGAGAGATATAGAGAGTCAGTTAAATCACGAAAGTTTAAGCAAATTCAATCGTGTTTTGTTTTAGATTCCGTCGAGAAATCTTGACTAGCTTCAGTCATTTCTGAGTTATTCAAGAAAAACTTGAATTTTGTATTTTCGTTTTTCTCGGATATCTCGAAAACTATTGATTATATATATATATATATATATCATATTATCATATAATCAATGATTTTCGAGATATTCGAGAACAAATATACAAAATTTCAGTTTTTCTTCAATAACTCAAAAATTACTGAAGCTAATCTAGATTCATTAATAGCGGATTCTGGATCAAGATTGAATTTGCTGAACCTTTTTGATTTAACCGACTGTCTATCTCTCATAGTTACCGACATCTTGGTGAGGATCGGATTTGGGACACACTATATATTTCACTCTTACAGTCTCCTTAACTGACATAATATAGAGTATTTTTCATAGGGTCATATAATTATGTTCTCCTTGCGTTCTGAAAAAAAAAACAAATCAGGTCCGGATTAATAAAACGTGCTATCAAAACAACACTTTGTATCATCGGATTTTCAAAAAAGCTGCTTTCAAATTTGAAAATATGATCAACCAGTGTTCAAACACTTCGTTGTCAAATTTTGATTGCATTAGAGATAGTTATTACTTGCATGTGTATGCTTATATATACACCACCCAGGTTCGGCCTTTAAGCCACCAATGAACCTACTTATACAGGTTTGTGCAGCGTTCGTATTATCGTTAATGATTGTTCATTGGTCTCTGAGAAATCTGAGCTCTCTAAAAACATAGGACCACTCGTATATCAGTCCATGTTTCTTATCTCTAGTGAGTTTGATGGCTACCAGTTGAACGGTATATCTATTATTGGTGAACCCTCGCTCCCTCCCCCTCCCCCTGTTGACTTCTGAACGGTGGGGATATCTTTAAACCATTTATCTACTCCAATTGTAGATCAAGTGCTAGGTATCTTGATTCCGACAAAAAATAAGTATCTTTCAAAATGACTCCTGAATGCTATTGTGGAATATTTTTTCAAACGGAATGGGGGGTCGAGTGATACATCATTTGAAACGTCTTTCAATTCTCTCTACGACACCAGACTTTCAGACAAAAATATCCATCCAAAACGGTTAAGATATCACTATCGCCTACCCATTCCATTAAACATTTCTTTCCAAAATGGCCACCGAGCATTATTTTATCGGAAGCAAAATTAATGTAGCACTTCAACTACCATTGAATAGGAAGTATAGAGGTACTTCATCTTGCAGCACCTGTAGGAAAATTATTTGAGTGTGCGGACATTGGCAGGAACTGGTGGAGTGTTTTTCCACTGAGTGTATATTTACCTCTGTTTAACACATGGGAGTAATAAGGAAACATATACATCGAGTGCAGAAATTCTCCACCAGTTCCTGCCAATGGAAACCGCTATCAGTCATGATCATGTAAATTAAGCCTCAATAAGTATCCACTGTCTGCGCAGAATTACTGGCTAACAGTGGTTGAAGGCTCTTTATTTGCTGCCGGAGGCTTTTGGATTAGGTAGATCGGGTTACTACGAGAGCTCAAACTCCTTTTCAATTTCGCCCCCAGGTGATTCTGTTCGTCAGATAAGATTCCATGGTCTTGATGATGTAGGTCCTGCCGGTACTTGATGGTATTTATCTGGTAGGAGAGTTGACCCTCAGTTATCCGAGACAGGCTTTCTGAAAGAACGATGCCAATCAGCGTTGTTTTGATTTTATTGATGCATCAAAAGTGTCTTCCAAACACCCTCGTCCCTTTTTGTGAGTCTGATACCGCTTCCCTGCGACAATACCTAGTGCTGGTATTGTGGTGTACATTTTCTTTTCACCTTTTGGCCATTTAGCACATTGTATTGATAGTTACGATGATCAAGACTCTACACTTCGGTCTCCCATCTGGCATTCCTGAGCTCTTGTATTTTTATTCCGATTTTTTTGGCCAATTCTAGAGAGCTCCTGAAGACAGGTGTTTCCAGCCTCTGCTACAGTTTTCTCAAGCGTTTTTCTCGATGAGGCCAAGTAAGTCAGCCGGAAGGAGTCGATGCTGACCAATCTCATTGTGGTAATTTCTTGACTCCACTATGTTGCTAATGAACTTATTAAATTCAACATTAATTTGATCTATCCATCTATCTATTGCAATATAAAACATCAATTCCTTACCTATGCAATATGAAATTCCAAATGATATCATAAAAACAAAATCACTCCAATCCTATACGATAAAAATAAAAAACTGAATCAGATGAGGGTGATCCTATAATCTAAAATCTAATCGTCACTACATCGTCGTTTGGCAGGGGGCTGTATTACCCTGAAGGACCCGGTTCTGATGGGGATGGTTATCCTCTTGAAAAGCACTGCCTTCCCATCATTCCTCTTCTTGCTGGTTTCAATAGTTTCAATTAACGTTTGAAAAGCTCTATCCTTCATCCTTCACCACTCTTGTGGGCTTTCCGTCCTCCAATCCTTCATCACATATCAGACACTGGCGATCTGACATATTCGACCACAGGAAAATATCTTATTGAATATGAACTAAACAAAAAAAAATAAAACCGATAAAACTGAACTGGAACTTTCGTATTTTGAAATCGCAGTGAGGCAGGTTTATAACAAGCATTGGCCGTAAATTCGAAGATAGCCGACAGTGAAGGAAACTCTTCTAACTATATTTTCTTCAAATGTCTGACATTTCTGATATTCGTTGCTAGGAAACTTGATTTTTCTACTCCGTTAACGAATAACAAGAAGCAGGAAAAAAACACAATATTCTTCCTATTTGATGTGAATATACTTTGTACAGTGACAAGTCGAGAGTCATGAGTTACATGCTGACAGAGGTAAGAATTCACATGGCTAAGACTCTTCCACATCAGGCAGTATAGTTCGTTTCTTAGAGAAATGCGTAGATTTGGAATTATCTGCGATAACCGACGAGAAATGCTATTTTTATAAAAGTACGCAAATTTAGTCAATTTTCAACTGGCTTTATCTCCGCACTCGTTAGTCCTACATTCATGAGCAATAACAATTATATTTAGGAAATTTTATCTACTTGAACTTTCTAGATATAGGGCAGTCTTTTCGATATAACGTATAATTTTCCTAGTTACGGGCAAAAACTCGAAAAAAGTCCGAAGATTTTGCTGTTTTTTGCGAATATCTCGGAACGTTCCAGGAAATTTAGTTTGCAAAATTCAGATTCGAATTCAGCACCTTCAAAAACATATGAAACCTATGAAACCGCAGAGAAAGCGACTACTTGAATTGTTTCCAAGTGAATACCATTTGATTGGACTAATGGCAAGAATTGGAAATGTACAAAAAATGCTCTCAACTTCAGAGATTTTTCTAATATCATTTTATATATGAATCTAATTTGAACTTGTATAAAATGGAACCAATGTTCATCAGAGGTTTTTGTCACTTGACCTCTCTGGATCGAGTTAACAACCCAGAGTAAGTTTCCGAAAACACCTGACACTCTCCAATGATCCGATGCATGAATGCTTACAACACAATTTGTCTCTCGAATATCAATTTTTGAATATGATTAGCCTGAAAACATTTTTTTTTTTAATATGATGAGCCTGGACTGAAAGACGGTCAATGGCCTTTTGGGGTATATCCCTAATAAAGATTTTCTCGTTCTCTCGATGATTAGCCCCAAGGAGAAATTGCGGCGATTCTGTGATGTCTGAACCGAAACTAGTCACAATACAATTTGTTTTATATAATTTTTGTGGTCGACCGACTTGGTGTTATTTTGTTTCTCCTTTGTGGAAATTTTCTTAACAGCATCCGAAAAAGAATCAGAAAAGCGCGACTCCAGATATATACTGAAATTCAAAATCGTGCGAGCGTATACATAGAAAGATTATCGACACTAAGAACGTACCAACTTTTTTTGAGGGGATCGATAATCAAATAAGAATCGGAATCTAGAATTCTTCAACTTCAACATCTTGAAAAATATTGAGTGCAGATATTCCAAAATTGTGGGGCGTGCATTTTTTTCTGGCGAGTCATACCAAAGCACAGGTAAATTAGCTTGTAGAGAATGAATGAATTTTGGACTAAATTCATAGTGTATTATCAAATATTATAACATAAATGCAATACTTCTACAATAAGTATATAAATAAAAAAAGTACAATGTGTATACAATTATTTTGCCCTCCCTCTGCCTCTTCCTCCAGTCTTTCCTCTTTTGTTGGGAGTATTTTTCTTTTCATCAACCTTTCTTTTAGCGGGTGTTGAAGAAAGGACAGTGAAGAACCCATCCAGCCTTCCTTGAGTAGTTCCGCTCCTAGCTTTCACTAATTTCTTACACCCATTCCTCACCCTCTCTTCACTGAAGTTTTTGTCACCACACAAATATTTTACCATAGCTTCTTCATCAGGTTCTGCCCATTTCAACTAGAATAAAAAGAAATTGAGGACAAAGAATTAATAATATTCTTTCCAATCCAGAATATTTACAAGTAGATTCAGAATAACATCAAAAATATTTGACAGGTAATTCCTCCATTTTGCGAAATATTCTCGGGCAGAGCCGACCGAGTTGCTATTTTATGAAAAACATGCGCTGTCTGTCTGTCTCTGGAGAAACAGAACGTCTAAGGATGATATAAACCCTCAAGTACCCACATTCAAAAAGTGAAGAATACTGGTTTTTAGTATTTCATTAGTAGTATTTGATAAATTTGAGAAATTACCAAGAAACAGAAATTATCACACAACTTTCTAAACAATGACCAAAACAAAACACAAATTTGCCATTGTATCATCCACACACAATAATGATATATTCAGGATTATCAAAGCTCACATTGTAACATAAAGATGCATGTATCTTTTCACCTTTATTATTATTATCATCATCATTTTCATTCTTATAAGACCCTGTATATCGAAAAAATTACGATTAAGGTCATTTTTCATGGATACTGCTTTAATTTATGATATTCTGACTTATCCAGTATAAACATTCACCTACTTGGGGAACTTTCAAAATTAGTTTACCTTACCTCAATGTCTTCTGGGTTCATAATATCAGGATTCATGAATAGTTCTCGAGCTCCTTTATAATTCCAATTTTCTGGAGGAGGATATTTGTCTTTGTCTAAATTATCAAGTATGTTTTCAATAGATTTGTGTTTCTGAATAAGTTCTATTGCTCTTTTGGGTCCTATTCCTCTAATACTATCTGTATAATCACATCCTAATAAAATACACATATCTGTGAACTGAAAAAGAAAACATTAATTTGAAATGTGTATACTTGATAAGTGATAGGTTGCTAGATAGTTATTCATGGTACTAATAAGTCATGCGAAGAAGTTTCGTTGACAAGCCGAGTGAACTAATTTGTTGAGTGACTCAGGTCCACTACACACAAGTAAAAAACGTTGTTGGAAATTTGAGTGAAATGTAAATATTATTTATGAAGGGTCAAACAGCAGCGTCACTGTTGAAATACCCAAGTACCGGCAGCCGTGTTGTGGGGGGGAATGCATAGTGTCAGCAATGGACTCAATGTAAACAACGACGAGTGAGGCAAAAATATTGTTCAGGCCACATTGGTTACGGATACCTGTCTCTTTCTATCTTCTGTTAGCTAATGGGAAGCGCTCGCATCATTTGAGATATTTCCTTGTTCTTTGCTTTTATTTAGGAGTGAACGTAATTAAATATAAATATTCATTTAGGAAAAAGGATAATGTTACAATCAACTATCATTAAAAAATTATTATTGATTTTTTTATTGACCTAATAGTGAAATTTTCTTTTTATTCTAACAGGATTGGGGAGTCAAATGAATACGAAATGGAAATTATATATTTTCATTCAAATGTTCCTCTTTCAGTCAGGACGAAGGAACATAAGTAGAATATAAAGAAAAGACACATCGATAAATCGAAACTAGCTGAACATATCCTTACTGAATTCGGTCAAAATATGGCAGAGTGGAATAATATTAAAATCATTGGAAAAGAAGATAACAACCAGAAGGAATCTGCTTGCATTCTTCTGAACGGAGACAATAGCATTGCTTCTTGTTCAGTTGATATAGACAGAACATGGTATTCACTACTAAAATCTGAACATGAAAATGGTAAATTCAAGATTAATTGATGAAAACATCCTGTAACTCATTTGATTGCCAACGTCACCAATTGTCAATGAAAACTGAAAAGCTTCAAGACAGATACGACTTCGCTATTGAAATAATCTTTTCTTATGTTGAAAACTGGAACAGAATCGGTCCCGAAAGGTCCAAAGATAAGTGAAAATTTGATATTTTTTCTATATACCTTTATTTCTCTACTCCAAACTTTTTTCAATACAAATTGTCACTGACAAGCTGGTGAATTTTTCTTTTAGGCTCTCTGATAGGAAAATTCTTTAAACGTAGTGACATTTTGGGGCAAATCATCTGATTTGTCCTTACTACACGTATATTGAAATAATATCCATATTTTTATTTTATAAAAACGAGGAGAGAAAATCCCAAAAAAATTGGAGTAATGAATGATAAAACAGTTTTCCATATTTGCCAATTTTTTCAGACATACTGTACAGTTTTGAATACCTTTATGAGAAGTAGTTAGATGTGTTCATCATATCGTGATTTTTATTAAAAAAATCAAAAAACCAAAGAAAAACGTGATTTTTTCAGTTTTTTTTTAATTTGGAATAATAATCGATATGTTTTGATCCATTTTGAGTACCTATGTATCTTTACATGCAAACGCAAACAATTACAAATAGCATTTTCCTGTTTTGACATATCTTGTATTGGTTTATTCTTGTTAGACCTTGCGAAATCCCAACCCTGCCTTACAGTGGTGGGCCACCACTTGGTGGGTTTCACAAAAGAATATTCCTGAAGTTGCTAAACTTCTTCCTATCCTGAAACAATTTTTATGTGCTGTGTCCTCGTCCGCTTCGGTAGAGAGAGTATTTTCTACATTTGGATTTGTTCATTCCAATTTACGAAATAAATTAGGAGTGGAGAAAGCAGGAAAATTAGTATTTTTGTACAAATACTACAATGAAAATGAAAATTAACATTGAATTTTTTTGAAAATATCTATCATTTTTTTTTTCAATATTAAGAATATAGTTTTATTTGCAGTTTGTATTAGTTTAATTTATATTTTGAGTATATTTTATAAAATAAATAAATCTTATTTCTGATTTCACATTTTTTATTTTATTCAGTGAATAAAATCAAAAAATCACTTGATTTAAATCATTGATTTAAATCGTGATTTAAATCAAATGATTTAAATCAGGCGAACCCTGGTGGCTATGTCTTTATTGACTAGTGGTTCATAAAATAACGAAAACTACATTCATAGTAAAAACACACCGGATCGCCACACCGCTATCTTGGATAGTCCACCATATTAGATTCATTATTTTTCTAGTTGCTCTCAACGAGCCCTTTCATTTGATACCCACATTCTAGAAGTAGATTAAAAATAACTATTTCGTCATCTTGGGTGGTCCGCCATATTCGATTTGAAATGACGTCACATTATTACCCATATTGTAGCAGTGCATTAAAAATAACTATTCCGCCATCTTGGATGGTATGCCATATTGTATTTGAAATGACGTCACATTATTTTTCGAGTTGCTCTCAACGAGCCCTTTCATTTGATACCCATATTGTAGAAGTGCAATAAAAATAACTATACTGTCTGTAGGTTAATCGAGGAGGTGGTACATTCATTTTACTTGATTCTTTGGGATTTTCTCTCGTTTCTATAAAATAAAAGTATTCGTATTATTTCAATATATTTGTAGATTCAAGATCAATTAATGAAAACATCCTGTAACTCATTTGTATACTAAAATCACTCATTCATGTGCCAACATCAGTATGACACTGAAAATGGTCAAACTATAAGCAGCACAACTTTCAAAGAAACATAATTTGCATTTACATGTTGAGAACGGGAGCAGAATCGGTCCCGAAACGTCCAAAGATATGTACAAATTCGATATTTTTTCAATATATCGATATTTCTCTTCTTCAAACATTTTTTCAAACAAATTGTCACTGACAAGCTACTGGATTTTTCTTTTAGACTCCCTGATAGAAAAATTTGTTAAACACAGTGACATTTTGGAGCAAATCATCTGATTTGTCCCTCTACAAATATATTGAAATAATACAAATACTTTTTTTTATAGAAACGAGGAGAGAAAATCCCAAATAATCAAGTAAAATGAAAAATAACTATTCCGTCATCTTGGATGGTCCGCCATATTGTATTTCGAATGACGTCACACACCTTATCGTGCATTAGCATCCAAACTAAAAGTGTGTACAAAACAGCTCAATCGGTTGAAGATATCTACTTCAAAATCGAGTTCAAAGACTCCACCCAAACAATAGTTATTCACCTAACAAGTGCGGAAAGTGCACGCGACGGCAGTTGCACGAACGACGCGGAGCGAATGCCATTCCTGGGAATATCGCCATCAGAACAGTGAATTCAGTTCAATTACAACAGAGAGGTGGCTATGTCTTTATTGACTAGTGGTGCATAATATTACGAAAATTACCTTGGTAGTAAAATAGTATATTCTTCAACGAGCGTATAATGATAGCTATTATTCCCGAGGATATGATTCCGAAACGAGCCGTAGGCGAGTTTCGGAATTATCCGAGAGAATAATAGCTATTATACGCGAGTAGAAGACTATACTTTCTCTACGACTATACGATAGTCAGAAAGTTAATGTAATCTAATTATTATTTATGAAAATAATATACTTGATGTATGAATTCTTATGATAAGATAATACAATTGACAGGAATATTTAATATTCAACGAACTCAATGATGAAACAACACAATAATTATTAGGTCAGTAAATTATGTTTCTCGTACTTAGTGACTAAATTTTTAGTGATATTCTCACAATTCGTGAAATTTTACTGTTGGTGTTGCATTTAAATCAACACTGACATTTTTATTCATATTGCTAGTTGATGTTTTTTGTGTGAAGGAACTGTTATTTGATGATGATGAACATTGTTCGATTCATTGAAGAATTCGAATCAGCCGATTTTTTTTATTCAACATGGAATCTTCTAGAAATCCTTCTGCCACCGATGTGCTCTTCCAGCCACCATGTCTTTTCAATGCTGTTATACCTCCACCTGCATTGACAAGCAAAGCAATGCCCGGTGTACATCTCGGGATTTGGTAGCTTCAAAAATGTAACTATTTGTTTTCCCATTGCTGCAAACTTATTAATTCCAATTTTCTAAAGAATACATTTCCCTTTTTGGTAATTCATGAAAAAAATTGGAAATCCCAACATTTGCTGCTGGTATATCAATGTACTTTTTACGAAATTGATAAAATTGCCCGGTTATAGCGAACCTCCTTACAATTTTTGTTTTGGTCTCAGGAATAGTTATCATCCATGGAGATCCAAGATCTTGAATATCTTCAATATTCATAGAGTACATTTCTATGGAACGTCAAGCCTCCATTATATCCTCCAGATATCAAAGTTAATACTTAAAAGACTCTATAAGTCAATCTGACATTCGCGAAAGTCAAGCCGTGACGTGACCCGTAAAATGAAGCAGAGCCTTCTTGAGAGATTTGTTTTGTAGATTTGCTGGTTTTTCATTAGTCTAACCTTTTCAGTTGCTGTGGATCCTGAAAATTCTGAATCTGTGATTGGTCGAGTGCCGTTGAATAATGAGTTGGGATCCACGGCGTCTTGGAATCATCTTCATTCATCAATTACTAACCTATATGTAATCAATGTAGAATACGATAGTCGTAGAGAAACACACTTTACGCCTCGAATAGGAGTGAATAATGGTAGGTTATATAGCTAATGGTGAAAATAAAGTGTATTATACACTGAAAAAATATTACATTCCAGCTGGAGGTTGTGTTGTCTCGTGTTGGCTCATATAATGGTAGGAAATCCTTGTTTTGATGACAATTAAAAAATGTTTATGCAGAAAATAAAGGAATGAAATGGGAAATGAAGCTAACACTTGGAATGATCAAAAATCAACAAAGTCAAAAATTCTAACATTTTACTTGACGATCAATTATACCTAAAAAATGAACTGCTTTTGAATTTGTTCTTTTAGTAACTAATATTCACATCACGCCTTCCAAGTTAATCTGTCACATCAAATTCCAATGTAAATATCATGCATAATTTCCCAAATGAAAGATTATCTAGCCTGCCCGCTAGTAATTTCTAATCCGGGTCCCTACCTAATTATACTAATTATTGGAGGATTATTGAAGACAGAAAATCGAAATTTGGGAGTTGTGTATTATAGTTCAATAAATATATTTTGACATATTCCGCCGTACTTCCGATTTGACCGGAAATGACCCCAACTTGCAATTTCCAAATGGGACATCCTAAGTATATATTTTTACTTATTTCCATCTGGAATGACATCCAAATTATTCATGAGAAAATGATCTTTCACAAAAAGCCGACGAGTAACCCCCTTTCCATGTGAAAAAAATGAACTGGAAAACTTCATATTTGTGACTTTAAATCACTTCTTTAAACGACTGTGAAGTAACAATAAGCCTCAGAGTGGTATTTTTTCTTACTTGAACAAGGAAGAAGCAATTCACAGGGTCCATGGCATTCTAGATGGAAAAATTAAAATTGGAATAAAAATAACTTTGACAAGTGAGGTGTTTTTGGAGTCATTCTTGATCATTATAAGTGAAATAATATAGGATAATACACAACCCCCAATTTTTTTTTGTCCATCTCTAATATCTGATGTCTATTCCTAATAAGAAAGTTATAGGGGTGAGCTTCCTTAGAGAATCGTCCAGTATCTGTATATGTTAGGCAAATCAATATGTAAGGTTAATTTATAGTAGTTATTTCACTTAGGGCCAGTTGCATCAAGCTCTCTGTTGACTCATTAAGGAATACACTCTCCTAACTCATCAGTTGAGAAATGGACTGATGGATATGAACAAATTAAATATTTAATTGCCTCTCAAATGCTTCAGGAAACCAGCCCCTAAAGAAGTTATATGTGTTAGCAAAACATGATGTGTTAATTAATAAAACATTTGTGAAAATTTGATCCTTTGTGAAGTGATTTATATTTGATAATAGTTATTTATGTAATAAGGATCATAAAGACGATCATTATGGTACAAGTCGTGAATGTTATTGGGCGAGGCGTAGCCGAGTCCGATAACACGGCGTGTGCCATAATGATTGTTTATGATTCGTATTACATACAAAATTTTATCTTCTGGCATTTATATCAATACATTTTCGAAAAATTAAAAACTGCATTTTCGACATGTCACAATGACAACTATTTTTAAAGGAGTAAGTATTGTGTAGTTTCAAATATTAGTAGGTGAGTGAGCTGTGCTTTGCCATTATATTAATATTACAAATTGTAGTAATTGTTCTTTTACCATTTATAATAAATAGTTTTGTACATAGTTATGCATTTTGAATAAACTTTTTTGATCAAACCATTACATGCTTTCCTTATAGAATTTCATTATGGTACTTAGTACCATAATGAATTCATTATGGTACTTAGTCCCATAATGAATTCATTATGGTACTTAGTCCCATAATGAGCTTCCTTATGTCATCAAAATTGAGTGACATAACGTTGTCATTATGACATGCCATCAGATAAATAGTTTTTATGGGTGGTTTGTGCACCTTGTAACCAAGGAAATGAAAATAAAAATTGTTGACAAACACTGGAACATGAGTATGATGCTCTGAAATAGCAATATCGATATCGGTACCTTAAATTTTGCAGTAAGGAAATATTTATCAAGATATCTCATAGAAAAAGACATACTGGCTCACATACTAATTTGTAAAAATAATAAATACCATACCTAAGAGGACCAATTATTATTAATAATGATTTTAAACTTTCACCCATAAAAATACAAGTATAAATTACTTAATGGGAGGAGCTTATTTTTGTAAGTGCTGTGCCCACTGCAAACATTTTAATACAAGTTGCCTCTGCTCCCAATTTCTTATGAGAAAACCAAAAAAGATTTAAGTGGATAAAAATTATTTTTGAAAAGTACCTACTACACCTGATCTATGCAACTTATAGACTGGTTTTTCAATTTATGATTCCAAAACTTGGACTCTTGACTAACAGAAAAAACATGTCACCCTCTAGAATGATCCATAACCCTTAGGGGAACTTGGGAGCAGTACCTATTCTTACAGGTGAAAGCACTGGAATCAGAGGATATCCAATGTAGTGCCAGTGCCCATATGGAGGATGAAACATAAGATAGCAAATCTGAAAATACTATTATATAGTATTGAAAAAGTGACAATGTTAAAGCATAGTTTTCTTGAAATCATTGAATAAATAAATCCAGGAAAATTTTCCATTTGTATAGGTACTAGGATTTTGAACCTTGAAGGGCATATTGTTAGTAACATAAATGAGCAGTTTCATCTAATGTAACCATCTTCAAATCAGTCATAGAGATTCCAAGATCCCAATTATAAGGATGAAATTCAAAACACCCTATATATTTATTTGAAAGATAAATAGGAATAGCTCACTTCCCATCCATATCAACTTCAATCATAATATCTATGATTCAGGAATGATGTGTTCAGATGTGTTGCACTGTATGATCAATAGTAAATCATTGTATTTTTTTAACTATAACAAGGCTATAACTCACTTCTTCATGAGACAACTTCAATCCTTCAAGTACTTTATCCAAATGTATTTCATGAATTGGCATTTTTCTAGCTTCACTAAATGTTAAGTGACGTAGCAGAATCTAAAATTTCAAAATGCTGAATATAGTCATTCTGTTTAGTTCAGAATGTAAATGCCTACATTGGATCCAAATGTTAAGGCATCCATATCCTCAGTGGCTGTTGCATACACTATTCCAGCTTTGACCATAGCTGCACATTGAGCTTCTGCCTCACAAGGAGCATCAATATAAGGAACTCCCATCAGAGTCAACAAATGTTTGGCTTCTTCATTATGATGCTTTGTCACCTTAACAAGCCGCCGATTGAATTTATCCATTTCTGCTGCATCACCAGCTTCTGTGGCTTTATCCAGTGCTTTTTGGGCCTCAAGGCGTTTTTCTTGTCTTTTGCCCAGTTCTCCTGATTTCATTTCTGGTGGTTTACCATCAAAAACGTACACCGGCTTGAGGCCACTCTCTATCAATCTGATGGTTCGGTAGAACGTTCCCAATAGGTGAGAGGTTGTTTCCCCATCTGCAGAGGTCAGTTGGGCACCTTCTGATCTCACTGCAATGAGGAATTGATATAAGCACATGGAAGCATCAATGGCCACTTTCCGACCTGAAAAAAAAATCAAGACAACATTATTCAACGCATTACTGGAGAAACGCTATCTGCTATCCAGAAACAATGTAATAAAAAACATCATTTGAAAAACTAAATATTAAAATATTTTAGTTTAGATTACCGAAATAGGTTTTGAGTTCATTTTCCTTAATGGCTTGAGGTACAATATCTGATAAAAGCTTGGATAAGTTCAAAATACCCATGTTCAAGCAGGTTTTTAGACCGAAAATAATCAATTAATATCCCAAATTTTTTTCAATAAAAAAATACCAAATGATTACAGTTTCCATATGAGTTTCCCGCGTAATTGCATTGAGTGCAATTGTGACTGCAGTGTCATTGTCAAAAGTCAAATTTATTATTGTTCTGTGTTACACAACAAACGCATCGCGTCAGTTGCAGATACTACATCCATCATTCTGGCTTCCTATCTCACCTCATCATTCTTTCAACCAATGATGGAAGTGAGATATGGTATAATTACTGATGCGCTTTCGTTCCAGAAATGTTGCTACTCGACCTCTCGAGAACAGCGAAAGCAATGGTTCCGTCTAGGGTCCCTTGATGGAAATTGACGTTAAAGTCATCTAACAGGGTACGAACAGATCATAGCTGCATTCTTTTTTAATGATCTAGAGACTTTAGTTTTGTCTACTGGCATCCCTGACATTGCTGTCACGTCACATCCATGGGCGCTACAGAAAATCATTCTAAATTTCAATAATAAGTATGTACAGGGTATTTACTTGTTGAGGAAGATCATATTGCGAACGTGTTTTGTAATTATGATCCGATTCTATTCAAAATTGGAAGATATCTGGGGTTTTCCGGGGTTGGAGATAATGATTGTTTCGTCAAACTTGGAAAATTCAAGATGACGGATCCACTATATAGCGAAAGAAATTTCTAATTATGATCCGATTCTATTTAAGATTAATATCTGAGGGTTTTCGGGGTCGAACTTTGTGATTTTTTGTCAAGATTGGGAAATTCAGGATAGCGGATCCAATAAAAATCAAAATTGGTATCTGGAGATTTTCGGGGTCGGAGATTATAATTATTTCGTCAGAATTGGGATATTCAAGATGTCGGATCCAATATGGTGGACGAGTTTTGTAATGAAGATCCGATTCTATCTAAAATTGGTATCTGGGGGTATTCGGGGTAGGAGATAATGATTTTATCGTAAAAATAGGAAAATTCAAGATGACGGATCTAATATGGCGAAAGACATTAGTTTATTCAATACTTATTACTCCACTACAAATAGAAAATATGTAGGATGCAAGAGTGAAAATAGCGTGCCTATAAGTTATACTGCGCATACCTACACTTATTTGTTACTTTCATCAATAAATTATTCGAAAATGACGTTTTATTAAAAGGGAGACGGAAAAATGAGGTGAACTAGGTGAAGTAAATTCTATTCTTTATTTTCCTACATATTTTACGTTTTTCTTTTTATCAGCCTACTTCTCGTCCTAGACGAAGTTTTATACCTAAGTGTGATATTAGTAACTCCATAAATTCTTCTCTGAGTTGGATTTCCGAAAATTTATTTAGCACACATGACATGAGTACCTACCGTAGTTTAGATACCCACATCAAGTTTTCCACCATTCCTCAATCATAAGGCTCTGCTCATTCAGCTCATAGATAAACTACTGCTCAGCTTGAAATCAGAATTCATTCAGTCAATTCAGTCATCCCTGGTATACAGTTTAAGAACAGTCTCTTTTGGTGAAATACATTATAAGCTTTCAGTACAATTTATATGTTCCCTACCTCGCAAAGGTTATGCTGGAGTAGTAAACTCTAAAACTAGAGGATTGGTCATCTATATCTTGGTATAGTTGAATGGGGAATTCCATATGGGAATTACGTATGATACGCCAGTGACCTCAATATAACCTAAAAAACAACGAATGTCAAAAATCTAGTGTTTATCCCCAGAATTGAATAAGGATGGAACTATATAACTGTTTCACAAACGCTTTAGAGTGAGAGGAGACGAGGATCTGTCCGTACCCTGTTAAGGTGACTTTAACGTCAATTTCCATCAAGGGACCCTAGTTCCGTCGATCTTCTGATAGATGGAGCATTGCACAATTATGACATCTGTCAGTTTTGAAATTGTCGCAAGATTTTTCGAATTCAGAGTTGAATAAACCCACTGTTACATATGTTCCGCGTATCCAAAATGCCATTTGCGATTTTATTTCCACTCGTTACAGCAGCAACAGCAACATCACCATCTAGCAAGAAAATGTAGAATCAACGTCTCGCTCGTTGTGACGTAGAGAAATCATAGTAGGCGATCGAGTGATTTTTCTGAAATTTTGAATACGTAATAATGGCCAAAATAATCATCAGTTCTACCAACCTTGAATTATGACACCTATCAATTTTTGAATTTCGAGTGAAATAAACCCAAAATAATTTCATAGGTCATAAGCTAGAAAGTCGGTTTCAGTCCGACTTTTGCGGAAAAAAGCTCACTGATCGTTTGACAGAACCACACAAATATTGACAAAATGAATACATATTGGTGCTATATCATCATATCATGCAGTGTGGGAAACAGTACTGGAAAACACTCCTAAAAATGTGATAAATGTGGTTTCTGGAGGATGTACATCTGAAATTTAACCAAATATGTGGCAGTCACTGTCACTTTTCCAACTTTTTTATGTGAACAGTGCGCCCGTTTTATTCAAGCTTTCTGCTAGGCATAAGCTGGCATGTGAACTCGCCATGAGCTGCTGACCTGATCCTGGCAGCTCACTTGACCTTGATGGAAATTGACGTGACTAGACTAAAATTTCATTTTTCTGTGACGGGAAAAAAGTTTGGCATTTCATCTCTGTTGGCAGGTTATAAAATGTCACTTTTCATGAATTGCTTTTTTCCCGTGGGCAAAAAGTGAGTACTTTTTTCCCGGATATATATCACATATATATACACTGTTGATGGCTTTTGTTGTGCTAAAGTTCCGAAAAATGAGTCAATAATACCGTCTCCGAGAAAGAACTGCAAGTTTTTATCTTCGATTCGACTTCGCGGTTACGTATATTACTAAACAAACACTTAATTCGTAATTTTTTGAAATCAAATCACAGAATTAGACTGACAGAAGTGACATCAAATATTTGATTACTTCAAAAGAATGATAAAGATGCCTATAGAACGCAGGTGTCCCTACTGTTGAAAACTTAAAATTTCACGTCGATAATTTTCAGATTTCAAAATAATGTAACATTTTCTCAATATTGATTCGTCCTTTCTTCTGTCACAGAAAAAAATAGTGTATTATACACGGGAAAAATATTAGATTTTAGCTCACGGTTTTTTGTCTCCCTCCGCTACGCGTCGGGAGACAACACAACCTGGAGCTAACATCTACTACTTAGGTATTCGGAATGAGTGTTTCCTTATCACGTTTGAGCCAGAAAATAATATTGTAATTGAGAAATATCCATCGGCCCAAACAGTTGATACCTACCTCTACAGTCACAGTATCATTCCTCTTACAATCCTTTCAAGAAAAATATGAATAATGAGGGCTAGATTCGGGAGCATCTCTTTGCGCCCACATCTCGTTGGGGCCACATTTTGTTGCAGCCACATTTTGTTGCAGCCACATCTCGTTGCAGCAACATCTCGTTGGAGCCACATTTCGTTAGGCCCACAATCTCCGAACGTACCCGAACGATGCGCTGTTGCCACATATAATTCAAAAATCTCGATTATACTGAAAAGGTTATTGTGGCCCTAACAAGATACTCTCATCTTGATCAATCCACGTTTCTTTCATGCTACATTTTGTTGCACCCACATCTCGTTGGGCCCATTTCTCGTTGAAGCCACATTTCGTAGCAGCTACATCTCCTTGCAGCCACATCTCGTTGGGCCCAGATTCAGCGACCCTGGTTCAATGCCTGAGACGGTCGACGTTTTTTTATTTTTTTTTTTCAAGTGAAAAATATAATTTTTAGGCAGAAGGTTCATTTAGGCCGAGTAAGGTTAGTTGGTTTAAAAAAGTAGTGTCCTTTTTTATGCAGAGGGATATTTTCCTTCCTGAAAAAAGTACTGTCTTTTTAGGAAGAAGGTTCATTCAGGCTGAGTAAGGTTAGAGGTTTTAAAAAAGTGGTCTTCTTTTTTATCCTTCCTCGCTGAAAAAAGTACTGTGGAGGCATTTACTGTGCTGTTGAGGCTGATAGTGATTCGCTATTTCAATGATATCATTTCAGGATCGGCCGTGAGCGAAGCTCTTGACCGGAAATTTTCTATTAACTTGATTATGCACCAATTAAGGGTATTGGTTATTTACCTGTGGCTCCAACGAGATGTGGTTGTAACAAAATGTGGCTTCAACGAAATGTGGCTTGAACGAGATGAAAGTATACTGCAATGTCTCGTTAGAGCCACAATGTCTTTCTCAGTAAAATAAGAAACCGTGTGGCAACAGCGCAGCTTTCGGGTACGTTCGGAGACTGTGGGCAAAGAATATAGGTTAGTCACCTGGGCCCAACGAAATGTGGCTCCAAAGAGATGTGGCTGCAACGAGATGTGTCTGCAACGAAATGTGGCTCCAACGAGATGTGGCTGCAACGCGGCGCACTCCTAGATTCGAATCCGATATTTCACCTTCAGCATACCAAACTAATTCTCTATCCTGGATGATAAAGATTATCTTGCACATATGTAAAAATGTATTCAAAATCAAAACTGAACTACAGCTGAAAGGGCCTCACCAGTCAACCACTTACAGAAGATAGATTACCCCACGACCTGTGAGCATTGAACCAGTTCATTGCCTGTGTATCTTATCTCTGCCACTCACGGCACGAGCGCAACTTCTGCACATTTTGATTGGACCAACGAGTCGTTCTTACGAATATCTGGTCAAAATGAATTCGAGTAATCAAGTAATGTCAACTTCATGCTTCATTCTCATCATTTCTCGAAAACAGGGTAGTGAACTGTCACTTTTTCTGATTGTGAAATTGAAAAAAATATAGAGAAATCAAAAATCAACTATTTCTATTCCTGTAATTTTTGCAAATTTATAGTTTTGTGTTATACTGGTCCTCTTGTTAATTACTGTGAAAAATTTTGTTATGTTATAGATAAACGGTAAGTTGTTAACAAAATGAAGAACTGGTGTTGATATGTACCACAAACAAAAGGTGAAAGACATAATTTCAAAATATAATTTTCACACTCTACAGAGAATTGATTATTTGTTTCTTCTGTTTCAGTTGTGCAGAACCGAATGAAATCAAAATAAAGTGTGTATATTTACCATGTGTTGTGCTTATGTTATGCAGATGGAAGTTGATTTATTTTTACTTTGTCCACAGTGAGCAGAAATTGTGTGCAGTCTTAAGGAAATGTCTAATAAGAGCTCCCTAGTGATTGGTAATAATACTGCAGGTTTGAAGCAAATTGATCTGGATCAAATATGGGGAGACTTACATGCTGGTATACAGCAGGTGTATAATCGTGAAACTATGCATAAATCTCGGTACATTCAATTATATACACATGTCTATAATTATTGCACATCAGTGCATCAGCAAGCCAATGGTCGTGGATCTTCAAATACCAACAGTAAGAGCAAAAAAAATCAAGTTGGAGGAGGTGCTCAATTAGTTGGTCTGGAGTTGTATAAGAGACTTAGAGAGTTCCTCAGAAACTACCTAGTGAGATTATTGAATGTAAGTAAAGCATTGGGTAATTGTGCACTTATCATGGGATGGGTTTTTTTCCGAAATTTTTTTTGGTACTTATGTATTTTTGCCTGAAAAACACAAATTTGATAATGAAAATGTGAACAAACCATCATTTATTGAGATATTTCACTATAAAGTTACAAATTTCATCTTCTTTTCCGCCTGTCTTTTGATGGCATTTAGAACAATTTGCCCTTCTTTTTCCATCATTGGACAATTTATATATATCACACAATGTTGGACACATTTTTTTTATTATATGAGTCAACTAGAAATATGATTTTCTTGTGATTTATCCATGTTTAGTGAAAAGAAGGAAGAATATCATTTGTAATAATGGCATGTGTAATGTCATTCCCAGTGTCATTCCAAAGCAATCTATTGACATTTGACATCTCGTATTTGGATTGCCTATGGATTAAATGGCCATCATCTGGTATGATTGCTCACTAAATAGGAAAAACTCTCCATAAAAATCATATTTCCTGTTGAATTTTCTAGCTTAAAATGTGTCATTGAAGTACATCATGAGTATATAAAGTGTACAATGACAAAATAAAAAGATCAAGTACCTGTAAATGCATCCAACAGAAAGGGGAAAATAAGGCAACATTTCGAACTTCTTCTTGAAATATCTAGATAAATAGTGGTTAGTTCACATTTTCATTATCAAATTCGTGTTTTTCAGACAAAAATACATAAGTACCAAAAAAATTTTTTTCTGTGACAGAAGGAAGGACGAATCAATATTGAGAAGATATTACATTATTTTGAAATCTGAAAATTATCAACATGAAATTTTAAGTTTTTAACAGTATGGACACTGCCTTGTAGGCATCTTTATCATTTATTTGAAGTAATCAAATATCTGATGTCACTTCTGTCAGTCTATAATTCTGTGATTTGATTTCAAAAAATTGCGAATTCAGTGGTTTTGTTTAGTAATATAGGTAACCGCGAAGTCGAATGGAAGATAAAAGGACTTGCAGTTCTTTCTAGGAGACGGTATTATTAACTCATTTTTCGGAACTATAGCACAACAAAAGCCATCAACAGTGTATATATATGTGATATATATCCGGGAACAAAGTACTCACTTTTTTCCCACGGGAAAAAAGTAATTTATGAAAAGTGGCATTTCATAACCTGCCAACAGGGATGAAATGCCAAACTTTTTTCCTGTCACAGAAAAAATGCTTTTATTGAGTCAACACATACCCACATGTACATGAAATTCATCATTACATGGGAACAGTTCAATTTTCCAATAAGTATACTAGCAATTTCTCTTCTACTCAACCAGCAGAATCATTGTTTTCAAATTGACACAAGAAATCTCTCAATCCATTTTTTGAAATGACTAACCTGACCGTGTTTGAAAACATTAGGTATTCAAGTATTAGATATTTCTCAAGGGTCTTTTATAAATTCAATTGACACTTCTTCACCAGCTGAACATTTTAATTGCAGGTAGGTTCCCACATTACTTTCAAAATATCTAAGCCTTGTTTTTAACTGATTTTGACTTCGAATGGATTACATTTTTAGACCTTCTCATATAACATATATCTATGAGTATATACTGAGGAGTATAATAATTCCTAATCAGAAGTTAACATCTGCATCTGGTTAGAAGCTATGCATATCTCTAAATGACCCTTCATTGCTTAAACTGAAAATTGGAATGGATTTTTGAAATTGAGTAAAAGCTTTGGAGTTTGTATCATTCTCTTGCAGGATGGAATCCATCGGATGGACGAGGATGTACTCAAATTCTACACCAATCAGTGGGAGGATTACCAGTTTTGTAGCAAAGTTCTGGATGGAGTTTGTGCCTATTTAAATAGACATTGGGTGAAAAGAGAGTGTGAAGAAGGTAGAAAGGGTATTTATGAAATTTACCAACTTGCTCTTGTAACTTGGAGAGATCATCTTTTCAAGCAGTTGAATAAAGCTGTGAGTATTTGAGAGTACAATGAAACTCAGATCATAATGTTCAAATTGCTTGTACTTTGTGGTCCACTGACAGGCTTTTTTTATGTAGGTAACTAATGCAGTACTGAAACTCATAGAAAAAGAAAGAAATGGAGAGACAATAAATACTCGTTTGGTGTCTGGAGTGATAAATTGTTATGTAGAACTGGGCCTGAATGAAGAAGAACCTGGTGCCAAGGGACCTAACCTCAGTGTTTACAAAGACAGTTTTGAAAATGTGTTCCTAGAAGACACTGAGAGGTTCTATACTAGGGAAAGCACTTCATTTCTTGCCGAGAATCCTGTCACTGAATATATGAAAAGAGTAAGTAGTATTGTTAAGATGATCAAATTAATATATTACATAACTATAGTCCTACATTTAACATGAGAAGTTCAGAAAGTTGTACATGAAGCTATTTTAGCTGTGTGATATATATTTTTTTTTTAAAGCGTTTATTTCATCCCAAAATACACAGAGTGTTACATAGGGATACCTCTAATAATAAGTACAAAAATAATTTGATATCACACAGTTCTGCCCTTCAATCACTATATCTACAGGTAAACATATAAGAAATGTATAAAGTTAAATTCTAAATATAAAAATTACGGTAGAATAACACAATAAACAAGTTAAGATGTATCACAGTGAAATAGTTGAGATAATAAAATATTTGGATAGATATATCACAGTAGTAGGTTAATGACTGATATAATGAAATAGTGCTTTCAATGGGTATACAAGGGGACGTGTCTCTTCAGGACAATATTAAATTTGTTTACATTCAATTTTTTTATGTTGGAGGGGAGTTTGTTATATTCTGCTGCTCCTTTATATAACAGTGAATTCAGGCCATGACGTGAGCATATTCGTGGTAAAGATATATCTTTGCATTGTCTAGTTTCATATGGATGAATTTCATATCTCATAGGGAACTCCATTTGAGTGTGTCTCACCTGATTCAGTGCTTGATGAATAAATTCATTAACTTTCACCACATAGAGGCTATCCAGGGATCTAATATTGTATTTGCCGAACAGATTTGATGTTGTAGATCTCATTGGTAATTGATACAGGTTTTTGATGGCTTTGTTCTGTAGTGTTTTCAGTGGTGTTATATAACTCTCAAAAGTTGAGCTCCATATGATGATTAGGTATTCCAGATGGGAATGAACTAGGGAGAAGTAAACTGACCTCAATAGATATTTTGGCACAGTATAACTTAATCTCCGAAGAACACCTACTGGTCCTATAATTTTTTTGCGTACATATTCAATGTGCTCATGCCATGAAAGCTTTTCATCAATGATCAGGCCAAGAAATTTAATTTTACTAGAGTATTTCATAGTACTATTTCCAAATGATATTTCTTTTTTGGTGTAATCAGGCACCTTACATTTATCAATCCACATGAAAGAAGATTTATTCAAATTGAGGGTCAACTTATATATTCCAGGAGTGAGTAATAGCATTACAACTTAATTTTTGTTGTGGAGACTAGGGTACTTTCATTCTTTTTGTGCATCATCTCACAATAACAGAGTCATCATTGATTCATTAATTAAACTTATTACTACTACATTGATTCATTAATTAAACTTGATACTACATGATTACTATAAATGGAAAGCTTCAAGTAAGCAATTAATAATAATAATAATCTTTATTTGAAATAGGAACATCCTAATATAAATACATTTCTGATATTTGTAGTTAGTAATAGAAATACTTGATGCTAAACAAAGAATGCTAAAAATATATATATAAAAAATAAATAAAAAAAAAAACCTATAGTGTCACAACCCCAATGAGAATATTATTTTTCTACAAATGTCAAAAAATGACAAGGTTCAGGCATTGATAACAAATCATTTATTTCTGAATGTTAAACAATGTTTTTTCTTCTCTTGGACCACATGGAAGGAAATTCCTATAATGTTCATGGAACAACATGCCTAACTAGGGAGGATAGGGAGAGGACTTCTGAGCCAGTTCAACACTATTTTTTATATCCAGCTAAGCATATTACTACTTCAGAACTATATTTTTTGACGTCTGTAGATACAATTTTGTTTGCAACTCATGTGCCAAATACTACTTACAAGACATCTGAACTGCCATCTTAAAAAAACTTTTTTTTCACGAACATTTGCCTAATTTACAGTTGCAACTGTAAATTAGCACTAATTTACAGTTGCAACTGTAAATTAGGCAGAGAAATTTTTCAGAACACCTAATTCAAAGTAAATTAGGAGATATTTTGAAAAAAATATTTCTTCTGCCTAATTTACAGTTTCAACTGTCCATTATATCCAGAGAACTTTTTTTACACATCTCCAGTTGCAACTGTAAATTAGGCGATATTTAGAAAAAAAAAAAGTTTTTATTCTGCCTAAAGTTGCAACTGTAAATTAGGTTGAAAAAAATGTTTTTTTAGGATGGCAGTTCAGACGCAGCATAAAATACTTTGGTCATCTGGAATATTTTTTTAGTTCTCCATTACCAAAGTGGCATTTCACTCACTAGATACAAAATAACTATTAATTCCAATAAGTACTACCTCACTAATCCAATTGAATAGTTTATGTAAAATAGGTAATACTTGATGTATAGCTAGTGACACAGCAGACATGTAACAGCCTGTAGTTGTTTTATTTGGAAAGATGAAAATTTGCAATTTGAAGGATTATATAATTGATGATGGTGCTTTCCTTGAACCCAATGACAATTTTTTTCAACCACCTGTTTGATTGGAAGTAGACCCAACTTTTTTTCCAAATGCGACCCTGTATATTTCTGTTGTTCTTATGCGCCTTAAAATTCTCTATTCAACTATGTATCACAATTTGATATTCATTCTTTAATTGGCTGTTGAATTGCATTTTATTGAAATACTTGAAGTTGGTGTGGCCCGAATACAATGACATTTCAATGCTTGATAGACTTAGAAATCCAAAGATCCTCACTTAGAATATTTTCCATACCCTAACCGGTCCCATAAGATTGCCAATAATTTCAGTGAGTTTAAAAAAATCATCCGAAAAAAACTCATGATATTAGGATGATACATCAATTATTACAACAATTTCAGTTTCATGTATCCAAATAGTTTCTTCACAAGTAGCCAAATGATAAAAACTGAGTTTCTATCTTGGTTTTTTCAATATCGTGAGTACCAAAGCCGGTGTGCCCCAAGGCTCAGTCCTTGGACCCCCCTACTCTATACATTACATGTTCTGTCTTTGAAAACTGCCAACATTACAGGTAGATACTTCAAATTCGCAGATGACACTGTTCTTGTATATAAGGGTAAAGACTTGAAAGAACTTGAAACAATAGTCAATACTGACCTTGAAAGATATCACAGATGGCTTGCAAAAAATAAACTTCAGATTAATGTATAAAAGACTACTTTTATCATTTTCTCTCAGAAAAACATGAAACTACAAGACATAATAGTGGAGATAGGGGGCAAAGAAATATCGAGAGTCCATAACACTAAGTATCTGGGACTGATAGTTGATGAAACAATATGCTGGAATGACCATATCAACCATATAGAAAAAAAAGTAATTCCAATGGTTAGTGCCTTGTATCATTGTAGAACCTACTTACTCCACCAAATATACAGTGCATATTTCTTATCCATATTCAGCTACTTAATTCCTGTATGGACAGACATTATTCAAAAAAATAAAAACACTTCAAAACAAAGTCGTGAAAATTTTATTCAAGCTCGATTATAGAACCTCAACTGATACCATATACAATGTAACCAAGATACTGCCTATTCAGAATATTTTAGAAATCGAACAAGGTAAATTTGCATACAAGGTTATAAATGAGCAAGTTAAATGTAATACCAACTTTACAATTGTTAATCAGCTTCATGAATACAATACTCGAACACATAATAATGTCTTTTTAGAACCTGTACGTACCAATATTGGCCTAAATAATCCCATTACATTATGCATGAAAACTTATATAACACTCTCCCCAAGGAAATAACAGATAGCCCTAATATCAGTATATTCAAGAATAAAATAAAAAAATTTTACACCTGCATACTTGATGTATGATCGGCATAAATCTCTTCTTCATTTCTCTTCATTTCTCTATCCCAGAATAATTGTTAGATTTTAAGTTATAAGTTACATAGGTATTATAGAATTCTTAAGTGAATTTTCAGTAGTATATTTTGTCTTTGTTGTATATGATAATTATTATGTATATTGTTTAGCTAGTTTTCCGAGACCAGCATGTCAGTGCTGCTTTGGAAAGCCTTTTTCGAATAGTGTTGTTATTCCAGATAACTTAAAACTGTGACTGTAACCATTGCTGCATTATTCGAATAAAGTTCTGAAATTATTGGAAATCTTCTGGGACCGTTTAGGGTATGGAAAATATTATGACAATATCGTCTCAGTAATGATCTTTGGATTTCTGAGCCTATCAAGCATGGAAATGTCATTGCATTCGGGTCACAACCAACTTCATGTATTTTAATAACCTTCACAAGTAGCCAAATGAGAAACACTGAGTTTCTATCTTAGTTTCCTCAATATCGTGAGTTATTTTCGGATGATTTTTTTAAACTCCATGAAATTATTGGAAATCTTCTGGGACCGATTAGGGTATGGAAAATATTCTGATAATATCATCTAAGTAGTGATCTTTGGATATCTAAGCCTATCAAGCAGCAAAATGCCATTGCATTTGGGCCACAGCCAACTTCATGTATTTTAGAAAATCCAATTTAACAGCCAATTGATGAACGAATATCAAATTGTGATACATTGTTGAATAGAGAATTTCAAGTCAAATAATATAGGCTATAGAAATATACAGAGTGCTATTTAAAAAAAAAAGTTGGGTTACTTCTGATCAAACAGGTGGTTGAAGAAAATTGTCATTGGGTTCAAGGGAAGCGCCATCATAGATCATATAACCCTTGTGAATTTCAAATTTGTATCTCTTCAAATACATGTCTCCTGTGTCACCCGGTATATGAATGCTTAGCTTACTTGTTAGCTTATTAATGCAAAATTGGTGAATTGACCAATGTCACAGTTATATAGGAGGAAGTCTACACATCAGAATAAATGTAGCAAGATCACAGATTTGCTAAACAGTTTCCAGGTAATGGTTTACAAATTATTCTTCCTGCAATTATCAAAATTTAATTGAACTATATCATTGCAAGTGGATGTATTATTACTTCAAACAGCAGTTCTATTCAATGAACAAAGTCACATAGGTATCAAAAGTAGGCATTCTCCCTCATATAAGCAAACAAAGCTGTTAACCAACCCCCATTG